TGCATGAGCTGCGGCAGCACCGACCACGGAGCCGCAGATTGCCCAAAGAACGCAGGGGCCGCCTGACTAGGCACCCTTGCACCGAGCGCGGCAGAGCCGCAACAGCCCTCAGCGACCGGGCCTGCAGCTCTTTTCCCAGCAGCGCTGGGCTCTTCCGCCACCGCTCCTCGTTCAGGGCAGAGCCCTGACCCTTTGGCCTCGGCACCGCCGCTGCACCCGCCTGCAACAAGTAAGCCAGGACGTGCCACCGCTGCGCCGTCGCACGACGCCGCGCCCGCGGTGAACGCCGAGCCCCCAGTGCTCCTCTTGTCCGAACAGCACAGCGTGCTGGCAGACAACGCTCGGAGCGTTCCTCTTCCCGAGCCGGCTTCGCAAGCGACCCCTCGGCCTCCGCTTTTTGTGGAAGTTTTCTGCGGCCTCGGTCGCCTTATAGTAAGGCAGCCATCGAGAAAGGCTTCTCGAATATCGCCGTGGATCACAGGACCAAGGCCAGAGGCCTCAAGGTCCTTCAGCTCGACCTTTGCACCCAGTTGGGTCGCAACTTGCTGAGAGCAGTGCTCTCACACCAAGATTTGAGATGGGTCCACTGGGCCCCCCCGTGCGGCACCTTTAGCAGAGCTAGAGAGATTCCCAGGCCGGGAGCTCCGGGCCCCTTGCGCAGCGAAGCGCGCCCAGCGGGCCTTAAAGGCCTCAAAGGAGCCGACGCCGCGCGAGTTCGCAGCGCGAACAGCCTAGTCGCTTTTCTGGCACAGTGTTGCCACTCCCTGTCTCAGCGCGGCGTTTGCTGGTCCATAGAAAATCCGGCTCGTAGCCTCCTGTGGAGGATGCCTTGCCTCAGAGAGGCCTTGCAGTCAGCTCACAGAGTAGAGTTTGACGCGTGCATGTTCGGCAGCATGCGCCGCAAGCGTACCGCAATCCTCTCCAACTTGGATTGGTTCGCAGGTCTGAGCAGAGACTGCGACGGAGGCCACAAGCACCTGCCGTGGGGAAGAGCCTCATTGGGTGGTTCCACAGTGTGGTCCACATCCCTAGAAAGCGCCTACACTACTCAGTTGAGTTCCGTCTGGGTTTCCCTCGCAGCCGACCAATGCGCAGCAGCACTCCAGGCAGCGCCTCTCAGTCGCAAGCGACTGCGTCGTTTGCGCTACGAGCCAGACTTCAGTGACAAAGTCACTCTCCAAGGCCCCGCAGGGCGGTGCTTTCGGGGCTGGAAGACTCCGCAGAAGCTTCCACAGTCGTGGACCTGCTTCCCAAAAGGCTCAAGGCTCATCCAGTGGATTGAAGCCTCCCAGAAAGCCATCATCGCCATCCCGCTGCAGCCTCTACACTGGGTGCGCAGAGCGCATCTGATCGATCACCCAGCCAGGGACATCGAGGCAGTGCCTCTATCCCTTAAGCGAGCCATTGCCGCCGAAGTCCACGAAGACACTGTCCTGCTGGCCAAGCGCCGCACGGTGGCATCGATGCATATCTCTCGAACTTGCACAGAGTGCCAAGCCCGCGAGACCAAGGTACGTTCGTCGATTGACGCTCAGGTGAACAGCGTCACCAAGCCTAAGCAGACAGTAGCTTTAGCAAAGCTTCTGACAGAAATCGACTTTCCGGACAAGACTTTGGCCCAGCAGGTGCGAGAAGGCTTTCCCCTGCTTGGCTGGATACAACCCAGTGGGTTGTGGCCAGTGCAGATTCTGCCCCCTTCTCTAGACGAGAAGTCACTACTGGAAAACGCCCAGAGCATCAGTATGCGAGGTGTTCGCAGCGCTCTGCGCCCCTCGCAAGACGGGATCTCGGACAGGGTCTGGGAAAGCACTATGGAGGAAGGCCAGCAGGGCTGGCTCTCTTTGGAAGACTTCTCGCCAGAGCAGCTGCACGAGACGATAGTATCGTCCCGCTTCGGCGTCGTTCAAAAGGGCAAAGTGCGCCCCATTGATAACTTCAAAAGCAGCTTCATTAACAGCTGCTGTGGGACCACAGAGAAGGTCCAAGTTGATAGCATCGACGAGCTTCTTGCAGTGTGCCTGGAGTGGCTTCGCCAAGGTGTTCCCGCAGAGCGGGCCCACCGCATTGTAGGCAGGACCTGGGACCTTAAGAGTGCCTACAAGCAGCTTGCAGTGCAGGCCTCACACAAGAAATTCGCGTGCATCGTCATGCTGGACCCACAGAGTGGGAAGGTGAAAATAGCCCACCTACATAGCATGCCTTTCGGCGCAGTGGCCGCCGTGCACGCTTTCCTCCGCTGCAGCGAAGCGCTCAAAGCCATCGGCCGCGAAAAGCTTGCTTTAGTCATGACAAGCTTCTTTGACGACTTCACCGTCCTTACGCGCAGAGCGCATTCAAAGCTCGTCACGTTGGCAGTGTCCAACCTTTTTCACAAGCTGGGTTGGCAAGTGGCCACGGAGCCCAAGAAGAACGCAGACTTCAGCGAAGTCTTTGATGTGCTAGGCGTGCGAGTGGACTTGTCCAAGCAGCACCTCGGAGAAATCTCAGTGAGCAACAAGCCAACCCGTGCAGCAGAGCTGGGGTTGGTCCTCAGCGAGGCCCTCGCCCGCGGAAGCATGTCCCCCTTGGAAGCGCAGAGCCTGCGCGGCAGGCTCATTTTCGCTGAGCAGCAAGCCTGGGGTCGTAACACTCGCATGGCAGTGATCTGCGTAGGCGACGTCCTTGGGGATGGACCAGAGCAAGTCCCCCTAACAGAGCAGCAATGCCAAGCCATGGCGTTCCTGCTGCAGAGAGTCGTGCACGGACCGCCCAGGACAGTGTCCATCCACGCACGCCGCAAAGTGCACCTGTACATCGACGGGGCCTGCGAGTGGGAGACCCCGAGACTCGTGCCCAAGTGTGGCCTCGGAGCAGTGCTCATCGGAGAAGGCATCGCCTTCACCTGGGGGCTGCAGATCAGCAGCCAAGTCACAGCCCAGTGGGCCGCCAGAGCTCAGAAGCAGCAGCTCGTCTACGAGTGCGAGCTGTTGCCCTACTTGCTCAGCCTCCAAATGTGGGCTAAGCACATAGCAGGCAGCGACCTGTTCGTCTGGATAGACAACGACGCAGCGCGTACCTCCCTGCACAAGGCCTTCACACGCAAGGTGGAAGGAGCGGCGATAGTTTCGCAAGCGGTGGACTTCGAAGAATCCCTGCAGTGCAGGGCCGCTTTCTTTCGCGTCCCCACAGACAGCAATGTAGCTGATGGCCCCAGCAGAGACTGGTGGGAGGAGACACAACGGCTTGGCGCAGAGCGCCAATTTTTGCCGCCCAACGCAGTGTCGTTGGCTTTGTCACTCGGCGCGGACTAGATGGGGGGTGAGTAAGGCTTCGAGTGCCTTCAAGGGGGGTGAACCAGTCGTTCGCCTTACCACCGACCAGCGGTCGAGTTTTGGTTTGAAATGCCAGTGGCATCGTTTCGACATAGCCCGAAGATCGGGCCCGAACCGACCCCCCATGTCCGCTAGGAGAAAAAAGAGAGTGCTTTGCACAGGGTCCTTTCTGCAGCGCAGTTAGGGTTTCCCAAACGCGCGCTAACGGAAGTTTCGTTGGAAAATAAGCATCCATCATGCGTGCGTGAATGGGTTTTATTTTCCGCCGAAAGTGTAGACAAAGTTTGTCGAAAAAGGAAAACAGTGTTTTCACTTGTGTGTGAGTGACACTAGACAAACTTTGCCGTGCAGCTTTCGGCTTGGAGTTGGATCTGTGATCCAAAAAGTTTTTGTCCCACCCACCACACCCTGTATAGTATGCGGGGTCCGGGACACCGCTTCGGCAGCAGAGCTGCCAGGAGCAGCGCTCCTATGCTCTCTCCCGCGGAGAGATTTCAGCACAGAGTGCGCTTTTGTATATAGGCCGTAGGCCGTGCAAATGCAGAGTAGCACCTAGTAGCTGCAGTGACCCAGTAGGTCCTAGCATGTTTCACTTTATCTCCCCGTGGTACGGGTTATCCCCTAGTAGGGGGGGTGAACCAGTCGTTCGCCTTACCACCGACCAGCGGTCGAGTTTTGGTTTGAAATGCCAGTGGCATCGTTTCGACATAGCCCGAAGATCGGGCCCGAACCGACCCCCCTTTTGCACAGGGTCCTTTCTGCAGCGCAGTTAGGGTTTCCCAAACGCGCGCTAACGGAAGTTTCGTTGGAAAATAAATCCCTCTGTTCCCTAAGCCCCATGCCTGCCTGCTCAGCTCGTTATGGGTCCCGGGAGACCCCGGCATCCCCCTCTCTGCAGCAACCTTATGCTCCCCTCAGTCCTGCGGTCAGGACTCCAGCTCAGCCGGCCAATCCAACACCAGGCCACAGCAGGGAGTTCAGGATGCACATCAGTGGGGTCAGAAGTTCCGCCGTGTCAAGCCTAAGCCCCGCTCCCACCGAGATCAGAAGCTAAAGTGGATGGTGATGCGAATAGACTTCAGAGCCCTGCTTCACTTAGCAAACAAGTACCTCCGAGCTATTATGCACAGACCAGAGATGGATAGCAAGGCCCAGTCCTCTCATCCCAAACTTGTGCCTCCCACCCCCTGCAAAGCATTGAATCTGCTAAATCCCCCCCGATCAACATGCGAGTCATTACATTTGAGCCGTCCGGGTCCCAAGTCCCGGAGCAGACTGCTGGTCTACTGCCTGTTCATGCAAAGCATTCAGACCTCCACCAGCATGCCTGCAGACGCGAGTGTTGAGGGCGTAGTCACGAAGCCCTCTGGAGCTGGAATTGTCAGCACCAACCAGCCCAACATGAGATCAGTGAAGCCACGTGGAATTGACAACAATCGGATTGCAATGCCACCCGCCCGCACCACTGGTTATGAGCAGCTTACGAAAACTGGCAAAAGATCTTTTCATAGAGCCATCAAACGCGCAACACAGGCCGGCAGTACTATGTATCGAGGCCGACTGCACACCGTTCGGACCCTAGGATCTCCCACCACTGCTGCCTCCTCAACGCCCTCCACTGAGTCTTCCAGGCCAGTCCATCACCTCCAGCCTCCACGATCCTCGGAATCGTCCAGGTGGAGGATCGTCATGTGGAACGCTGGAGGCCTCACCACCGCTCGATTGGCTGAGGTTACCACATGGCTTCGCCTTACCAACGAGCGAGGGCCCCCAATCCAGGTCTGCATTCTTGTGGAGACTCATTGGGAGTTCCAGTCTGAGTGGGCCACAGAAGAATATCATGCACTCCACTCGGGATTGAACCGCAAACAAGCCGGAATATTAGTCCTCCTCCACAAATCTTTTATTAGCAGCCAGGCGATCAGATCGGCTTCCATTCTCCCTGGACGGCTTTTCCAGATCAAGCTTGACACAGAGCCTGCGATCCACTTGATAGCTGTGTATCAGACGGTCTGGGCTGATGGTGCCAAACAAGAAGCATGCATGGCCCAGCGTGAAACACTATGGACCAAACTAGCATCCACCATCCGCAGTGTCCCTCATCGGTCGCAGCTCCTTCTTGCTGGGGATTTTAATACCCCTTGCTTACAGGACCCACCCTTCGTGGGATCAAGTGTTTTGGCTACGCCCTCAGGGGTCAAACAGAAAGATCAACATCGACTACAACAGATCCTCCACTCGCACAACCTCACAGCCCTCAACACTTTCGGACGCAAACGCCACTGCCACACATACCAATTCACCACATCCACTGCCCACCACAGAACACAGATTGACTTCATCCTAGTCAAACAACAACATGCCGATCCTGTAGCCCGCTCAGCCTGCACCATACGAGCCTTTCGTACCTGCCTCCGGAATGCATCACCACCCACTTCATGCTTCCCTCCCCTATCCTACGGCCCCGAAAACCTCAAACAGAGACACTCCCTCCCGACTCTCAGCCCAGGAGGTTACCTATGCCCTCCGAAGCGACCCGTCCCTAGCAGAAAGATTCCAGGCCTCCGTTCAGGCCCTCTACAAGCCTCCGACCTCGGGTGACCCGGCGTCCTACCTGGACTCCGTGCTTCGACAGGCCTGGCAGGAGGTTCGACCGCTCTCAGCCCCTCCGAAAGCAAAGGCTGAGCACTCCTCGGTAGGACTAGTTCGGCAACTCTGGACTCTGCGAGCCCAACTCAAACAAGCCAGAGCACAGACCCTACTCGGCAAATGGCTGCTGGTAGCTCGACTCTCCCGCACCCAACGACTCCTCAGGAAAGCTTGTCAAGCCAAAAAGCGGGAAAGAGTGGAAGCACTGCTCTTGGAGGCAGAGCGTTCCTCGCATCCCTCTACCATCTTCGGGGTGGTCCGACAGCTGGCACCAAAGGCCCGTACAATGCGAGTCCAACTTCGGGACAAAACGGGTCGCCTCCTCTCCGGATCAGAGGAATCAGAGCATATTGCGGCATTTCTTCGACAGGTCTTCCACAGTGAGCACAAACACCAACCTCCTGCCCCTCATCCGATAGATGGAATGCACTTCACGCAGGCAGATCTACGCAGCGCTTTGGACCGCATGGCTGCTGGGAAAGCACTCCCACAAGCCTTCGCCCCAGCCAGGCTATGGAAACTTGCCCCAGATCAGGTACTGAGTGCCCTGTTGCCCTCCATGAACCTGCAGTCGTCTGCACTTGACCCGGCATGGCACAAGGTCCAACTTTATATGATCCCCAAAGTGCCCATAGTTCGCGAACCCAAAGCCCTCCGCCCTATTGCCCTGTTGCACCCTGCCAACAAACTATTGGCCACCATGATAGCTGATCAAGTACAACCCAAGATAGCAGCCTATCTCTCCTCAGTCCCACAGTGGGCGTACCTCCCGGGACGCTCCACAGCCGATGCACTGGAATCAGTCTGTTCCCATCTGCACAGTGTGAGATCTCTCATCCAGGCCAATGCACAAACCCTGCCGCAGCGCTTTCAAGGCGGGACCCCGCAGAAGCTGATAGGAGGGATATCCATAAGCCTTGATGTCCGCAAAGCCTTCGACAGCCTGTCGCACTCTTTTCTGGAAGAGGCAATGCGTGAAGCACAGTTCAGCGAACCTGAAATTTCTCTCATTCTGCATTTGCACTCGCACGCCCACCTCCAAGTGGGAACAGGCTCAGCGGCAGCCTCTGTCTTTCTAGAAACAGGAGTGAGGCAGGGGTGTTCGCTCTCTCCCATCCTTTGGTCGTTAGCAACAGGCAGGGTCTATCGGCTCTATGTGGCAGCGCTGAGAGCTGACTCTCTACCAGAAGGCCTGACCAACATGTTTGCAGATGACTTCTTTGGAAGCTGGACATACAAGAGCCCAGAAGCCTTTCGAGAATCAATTCGAGCCATAGGCACCCTGATTCGCATACTGCAGCAGGTCGGTCTCGAATTGAGCCTTGAAAAGACCATTCTGCTGCTAGCATCCACTGGCACAAGTGCAGCCTCCGTCATCGGAGGTTACCGGACCTACAAGAACAATGAGACCTTTCTCCATATCCCCGTAGGCCAGTCTCGAGTGCAAATCAAGGTGGTACATGCACACACATACTTAGGGGCTCGCCTCTCCTACCAGGGCTTTGAGAATCAAAATCTCAAGCATCGCCTAGCCACAGCCTGGGGCAGCTTCTGGAGACTTCATCACATTTTAATTCACCGAGCCCTCCCCCTGAAAACCAAGGTCAGGCTCTGGATTGCGTGTGTTTTCAGTGTGCTTCGGTACTCCCTCCATCACGTGGGGCTTCCGAGCCACGGCCCACAGGTTATTCGGCAAGCGGTGCACCGGCAGCTTCGCATGATAGCGCGCTCCCCAGCTCACCTTTGGCATGTTCCTTCCACAGAAATCCTCCAACGACTTGGATTAGCAGACCCCTGGAACATGCTATGCCAACAGTTTACAGGACCCCGAACCCTGGCAGTGCCGTCGCATCAAACTCTGCATCACCAACAATGGAGTCAGTTGCTCTCGATTTCTTTCTCGTGCTCCCCCCTTGCAACCAACCCACCTGAGCCGCCCCTGGATCACCTGCAGCTACCACAGGTGGGCTCTGAGCCCAACAATGGACCGGGCACGTCTCACGTCGGCCTACGATGTGCCAGTGACCGTCGAGCCCACGCTTTCAGAGTTTTGCAGTGCCCACACTGTCACCTGCAGTTCGAGTCACTGGGTGCTTTAAGAGTGCATGAAGCCAACAAGCATCCGGCAGAAGCCACAATCATCAACACCTCCGAAGCAGAAGCATGCACCCAGGCGGTATCCACTTCTTTAGACAATACCCACCATCCCACATCCCATGTTGAACCCGGCCCCTCACATTCACTCCCCTGCCTCTCTACATCACCCCCCATGACCGTCCAAGATCCCAAGACCCTTCGGGCAACGAAGAAGTATACCAGAAGGCAGGTCCAGGCACATCACCAAGAGACTAGTATGAATCAGGACCTCCCCGAGTGTCTCAAAACTGCAGATCCGCAGACGTGTTTCTCTTACTTGCATGCACGTCAAGGCCTCTGTGTTTGCCGACATTGTGACAGAGAGTGTGCCAGATGGGATGATCTCAAGATTCACATCTTCACGAGAGCCTGCTCAGTATTGTTCCCTGATGCTCAAAACCCCGTCAGTAGTCCTGCCCAGCCCAATCAGTTAAGCCCGTACTGGCACACGGAAGTACGTCATGCAGCCAACAGAGGATGGGAGGCGGTATATGCCTCCACGAAAAAGGAAAACCCGCAGTGCTATCATTACTGTCCGATATGCGGTCAATGGTTGATACAGGCCCGTGGGCTCACGCTTCATGTCAAGGCCCACCACCCGTGGGCGCTTGATGCACTCACTCATGCCAGACTGCACTGTTACAGCTTCCGCAGGGGACTGGCCCTCAGCTCTCCCTGTAGATATTGCGGGCGCTCCTTCAAGGGTGATCAGGCCAAGCACGCCTCGGAGTGTGCAATGATTCAATGGTCTAAGTTCCTCCAAGCCCTCCTCAACCCGTCTGCACTGCCACGGCTGCGAAGGCCCCATGGACCTCGAGGGAGTGTCGAAGGAAGACCTGGAGGAGGCAGCGGCCCAACTGGCATTCCTACAGACCTCAGCACTACAGGGCAGGCGACTGGTAGAGCCACTCCACTCAAGCACCCTCCTGTTCCCGGCCCCGTCTCAGAACTTGAGCCTCCCGGCCAACTCCATTCCTCCGACCTCGGAGGTTCCACTGCGGAGCCCTCACATGGGCCCCAACCTAGCCACACCTGCTCCAGCACTCCACCCGGCAGTCCAAGAGGAGGAACCGCCGAGCAAGTTTGTCCGACCCAACGACAAGGGCCAGGGTCAGGGTCCGACAGGGGCAACAGGCCACTCGGCGCCAGTTCCCCTCACGAGCCGCACCGTCGACTGCAGCTCCCTCGGCTCTCTCCCCAACCCCCAGCGGCAGCCCACCCTCCAAGATTACGGTTTCGTCAGCTCTGATCACACAGATCGTTCAAATGGTGCTGAGGCAGGCGGATGCCTTGAATGCCATAGAGCAATCGACCACATGGATCTTGTTTCAAGGAACGGCCCCGCCACTCACAGTGGTAGATGCGCAGGCGGTGATAGCAGCAGAGTGGAACCAGCTCAAGGACACCAACCCAGCTCAGGTGACTCAGCCATTGAGGGTAGTGCTATGGCAGACCTGGGCCTCGGAACTGATCAAGCGGATGCAGCTCTTGACGACCAGCCAGGAAAGCAGGCAAGAGGCTCTGAGGCTGCAAATCCTCACGGAACCGGACTGCTTCAAGTTTGTGAAGTGGAACTCGGCTCATCGCCGACTGGACCCAGTGGACACGATTGCCCCACTGACCTTGAAGGAGATAGTGGACATGCTTCAAGAGACCATCGTACTTTGTCGAGACGACGGTGTTCTCATCAATTATCATCCGCTTCGCAGGTTGACCCCTCATATGACAGGCTCGGCAGTAACGTTCTCCCTCAGCTTAGGACTTCGCGAAGCACGGGCTTACCGCTTTTGGACCATACTGGAAGCTCTAGCTGGAAACGCCTGTTTGCAGCTCGTGGCGACGACAATCCGTCGCGACAAGCGGGGGAGGTCACCCTTGGCCCAGTCTCTCGAGAGGGAGCTTCGCAAGCTCCAGCTGCTCTGATGCAGCTAAAGCAATTGGCCCTATCAAACTTGGCGAACAACTGTTACGCAAATGCAATCCTCTTAGCCACAGTTTGGGTTTCAGTCCAGTTCCAAGGTCCCGCTGAAGTGTTCGCTGTGCCTTCTCTTCAGGAGGACCTGGCCTCTCTCCTTGCACACAGCTCTGCAAAGAGCCCAGTTCACGTATGGTCACGATCCGTGTGGCGCAGGAGATTGCACCACTGGCCAGATACGGGCCGACAGCAAGACGCCGCGGAGTTTCTTACCTTCTTTGCCCAGGCCAGCAGACCAGTTGCCTTGCAGGGTAGCTGGGCTATCCTCAATCGAGCCCAACTCGAGGATTGTGGCAATGTATGCCCCCTAGTGCTCAACTGCAGTCTTGAACAAGTCCCGAGCACCAACGGCTCCTGCACTTTGCAACAAGCCATTAATGCCTGGCATAATCTTCCTGGAAGCCCTACCTTGACGTCAGGAGTAGCCTGTGCAGCGCTGCAGCTAAATCGCTTCAGCCTCGTGAGTGGCCGGGTTCACAAGTCACGGGTCCCGGTGGCCCTTTCGAGAACAGTTAGGATCCCAACGTGGCGGAATGGCTCAGTAATGTGGATTAGCTACGTGCTTAGCTCGGCTGTAATCCACCTAGGGGAGTCTCCTAGATCTGGTCATTACAGAGCCCTACTCTTCGATCACTCGGGAGGAGCACGGATCACGGATGATAATGTGCCTTCAGTGATTCCCACTCGTGATATGGCTTCTGTCACTAAGTCGAATGTCTACTTGGTGTTTGTACGACCTGATCCTGCCACTATCCGAACATAGTTTTGTGTTGCGCTAGGCTTCAATTCTGCTCAATCAGTTTAGGCCTGGTGCGACTAGGGACTTCACAGCTCAAGGAAACTTTTCATGCCTGAGTGTTTGACTTTACTTTCTTACGATTTCTCCTGGGTATGGTATCCTGCTGCAAACGAAGCTGTGAAGACTCCCTCAAGGCCCCTAGGGGCGGCTAGGCTAGGGTGGGTGGCCACAGTGCCATGAGGCTAGGCCTCCGCGTAACATACGCGCCAACATCGCTGAGCAGACGGACTTCCCCTGCTGCGAGAGTGAGTGAGTGAGTACTACTACGACTACTACTACTACTACTACTATCACGACGACGACGACTACTACTAAGATTACGGCTACTATCACTGCTACTGCCACTGCTGGTGCTGCTACGACAACGACGACTATTATTCTGATGAGTATTATGACTGTGATGATGATTCTCACTACTACGATTATCAGGATTATTCTTACATTGTATCCTATTACAACTGCTACAATCATGACTGTCCTGTTACTGCTTGGGCGCTACTTTGTGATGTTCCTTCGCCTAACCTGTTCAGGACGCACTCTAAGGCGGAACTGCTGAGAGACTGACCAAGAGGGTCGATCTCGACTCTTTCACCTGTTAGCAGCTCGGACAGGAACGCTCGAAGACAGAAGCTCAGTGACTGGCAAATCCCCTTCCTTGGAAAAGAAACCACGAGTTTGGCAGCTTGTATCAGTTGCATGTCGGAGTGGTTGCATGCAGTCGATGTTGGAACACGTTGCATCAGCAGAGACGCATGTTGGTCTTGACTTGAGTTTGAACATGATTTCATGTCATGGAAACTGAGTTTTGTTCTCTTTGGAAAGATTTTTATGCGGAAAATAACACAAATCGCACTCACACGACATGAAAAAGTGTGGAGCATGCCCGCTCGTTCTAAAGTGCTGTGTGCGAGAGGTCTAGACGGTCCAGAGGCTCTGGAGGCTGCCACTCCAGCTGGCGCTATCTCATGCGGTGCGCCGCTTGATCGTCTTCGTAGTCGCTCGCTTGATCGTCTTCTTAGTCGCTGCTGTACCAAGTCGGAAAAGGCGCCTGCACTCCTTGGATGTGGTGCCAAGATCCTATTTCCGAGACCAATTGGACAGACAGCCTTCAGGTAGTTTCATGCAACTGATTCAAAGTTCCCTGAGGAAGCTATTGACGGTAGTTGATGTTGTCACAGGTCTTGGAATGACTATTGATGTTCCTGGCAAAGGAAGTGACGGTTACGCTGTTGCCGAATTGAAGAAGTTCACATATGAATGTGGACGTACATTCGGTATTCTCCAATATGACAAAGAATCGTCATTTAAGCACTTTGTGTCAGAGTATGCACCGAATTGGGAGGTTTAAGTATTAGAGCTGCACCTCAGAGCCATTCTCAGGCACAAGGCTCTGTAGAACAAATGCAGAGAAACATTCTACGGACAATTGAGATCATTGATGTACCAGATTGAGTTCAACTGTGACATTCAGCTTAGCTCAGATTGCATTGTTTACCCATGGTGCGTCAAGCACGCCCAGTGGCTCTTGAATCGGTACTTGATCCATTCGGATGGTAAGACATCCTATTTCCGTAGGTGGAACCGGAATTATGAAGGTGGATTGTGTTGCTTTGGAGAAGTTGTGCAGGCCAAGGTCATTAGTTCTAAATTCTCCAAGAAGAGTGACACTCCATGGAAGACTGCATTGTGGCTAGGACGTGACACTGAAGCAGACGAGATTATTGTTGCATTGCCAGAAGGAGTCAGGAAGGTTCGTACGATTCGACGGTTTTCTCCTTCACTGCAGTGGAATGCAGAACCCGTCAAGAACCTCCAGGCATTGCCTTGGAAGCCACGAGTTGCAGAAGATGATTCCACAGACTTCATTTATCCGGAAGCATTGCATTCTGCAGAAGAGTCGTGGATCGACTCAGATCTCAAAGGTGAAAGAGATTGAACCGGCCACTGAGCCAACTGTGATTGAGGATCCGCCGGAGGAAGCGGACACCTTGGTTGATCAATCAACCAGATTGCTTGATCCAGATGAATTGACTGAAGCTCAACGAGATGCGTTTGAGTTGCAAGAGCAGCCCCGTCATGAAACCGAGGTTTCAGAGCCAGAATTGCCTTTCTCTCCCGGCATTCGTCGATCAGGTGATCAAATTGAGGAACTGTTGGGAAAGTCCTCCAGGATTGATCCGGACACTGAGGTTAAGTCCTCACCTTCTAAGGTCCAGAGGATTTCGGCATTGCGCTCAGTGACATTCCATGTTGCTTCTACTGTCCAGTACATTGCTGGTATCATAGGAGCGACTGATGTTACTATGAAGGACGGAGTTGCCATTCCTGTTCAAGTGAATATGGACCACGATGAATTGCACCAAGAAATCAGGTTGTCAGAGCCAGTGATCTGGGATACGACAAGAGCATTACCAGCTGAACCTCAGCGCATTGGAATGAACAAAGAGATGCAGTCGATGAAAGATTTCAATGTGTACACTGAGGTCCCGATTGACAAATGTTCACAGTCTGACATTGATGGTGCGATTGGTGTCCGATGGGTGAAGAGATGGAAAACCGACACCGAATTGAGAATGAGATTGGTTGTTCAAGGATGCTTTCAGGACTCCACAAAGATTGACACAGATTCCATTTACGCAAGCACTCCATCACTTGTGACATTGCGTCTGTTGCTTTTGATGTCATTGGCTAAGCGGCTAGGTCATGGGAGATTAGCCTTGCTGACATCTCAACAGCATTCCTTCACGCATTCATTGAAGATTCAGTCTATGTTTGGCCTCCGTCGGATTACTATCCGAACTTCGATTGCTTGTGGAAATTAAACCGTGCTATGTACGGATTGCGTCAGTCACCCAAATTATGGCAAGACCATTTCGCCAGCGTGATGGTCAAATTGGGTTTCCGTCGTTGCAAATCCAACAGCAACTTGTATTGCCACAAGTCACGGAATTTGTACGTATTTTCCTACGTAGATGATCTCCTCATTGTAGGTGATCCGAAACTGAAGCAGGAATTCATTGACGCCTTGAGCAATGAACTTCTTGTGAAGATCACAGGTGAATTGAAGCCGAACACTGAACATAGTTTTCTCGGCAGGAAATTGAGGCACAACGGAGATTCCATTTATGTGCTCATGCCGAAACAGTACATTGAAGACCTCCTGGAATTGTACTCGATGAGCAAAGCAAATCCTGTCAACACTACAGGGTCATCCTCATTGAAGAGGATTGAGGACGCTGACTGTGCATTGGATGCTAAGGCGCATTCGCTCTTCAGGACAGCCGTAGGCAAATTGTTGTGGCTAGCATTCGTTCGTCCAGATTGCTCGTACGCGGTCAAGGAGTTGTCGCGTGACGTCCGACGATTGAGAGCTTAGCCAAGCTAAAACATCTATTGAGATACCTTGCCGGCACCCGAGAGTATGTATTGCGCATCAAGCCCACGCACATGTTGTCCGATTGGACCTCTTCGATTGACATTGTGTGTTATGTTGACAGTGGTTGGGCAGGCTGCAGTAAGACTAGGAAGTCCACGTCAGGCAGTACTGCACAGGTATTGGGCTCAGACATGATTCACACCTCTCGAACTCAAGCGACTGTAGCATTGTCGTCAGGAGAAGCTGAACTCTACGCCATTGGACAGGGCGCTAGCGAGTCATTGTTTTTGAAGTCATTGATTCTCGAGGCCGAATTCGCTAAACGTGTCAACATGGTTGTGTACACGGATTCGACGGCAGGACCAAGCATTGCAACGAGATTCGGAGCAGGTAAGAAAACCAAGCACGTAGAATTGAGATACTTGTACATGCAAGATCTCGTGCGTGCAGGTGTATTGAGCATTCGGAAAGTGAACACCAAGCTCAACCCCGCTGACATATTGACCAAGTATTCCCCGACTGAGGTCCTCAGGAACCTCACACACAAACTAGGCATTGTGAACATTGCCGACCAGTTTCACATAGACCCTTAAAACCAAACAAAAACTGTTTCACATTGCATGTTAGGTTTCATTTGAGGAACCGACATTCTTGACACGAGTGCGTCGAGATTGCGTCTCCGCCTTACCAAAAGAAAGAAGAGAGAAAGAATTGAGAAAGAAGAGAGAGAGAGAGAGAGAGAGAGAGAGAGAGAGAGAGAGATTGAGAGTTAGACATGTCATTTCTCCACAAGCCTGTTGATTGGTTGAAGTTTTCAGATTTTCCGTCAACATTGCCCATGTTCATTAAAGGCATCGCCACCGCCGATTGTGTTGTCCAACAGGGCAGTTGGAACACAGTCAAAATTGCATTCCCACGAATTTGAAAAGGATTTGTTCAAAATTGTACATATTTACCACATTGCAGAAACTGCATCGGTGTACAGCATTTCGAGCTTCTTGGATTGCATGCCAGTGATTGAGTCTTGATTTTGCTTTTGCTTGCAGTCATTGATCAGCGATTGCGACGACAGCACTCTTCTCGCAACAGATTGTGCCATGGCATCCACAGCGTCAACCACGCCGATTGACACTGCTCAACAATTGCTCGGCCAAGCACGCCAGGTGATTGACAATTGGCCCTCGACAAGGGTCATTACATGGGTCAAGACATTGATCCAGTGCCTCACCGTTGGGATATTCAAGGACAATTCCACGTCAGTATCATTGAGCCCGTGGCTGGCGATTTACATGGAAATGTTGATTCTGATGAGTCAGCATTGCGACGCCGAAGCCATTGATCAAGATGCTATCGCACTGGTTTGGATTGAACTGGAGCGCTCATTGATCATTGCAACTCAACTCTTCATTCGAGTTGAGCGTGGATTGTTCAATTTCAGTATTGACCCGAGCTTGATCAGCAATCAACCTTTTATTGCGACCAGGACGATTGCTTCTACTGCCATGCGACCGTCATTGTCAAAACTGATTGGAGATCGATGGTGGCATTTGTCACCGGAAGTTGCAACTGGTTCTGTGAGAACCATTGATCTTTCGAGATTCTGGTTTTGCCCGGACACTCAGATTGAGCATGGATTGTTCAACGCAATGAGTAGAACCTCATTGGTTCGCGGTGCCATGCCGCCCAACCAGCCAAATGGATTGGCAGATTTGTGGTTGTGGATTGCTCTTCCGATTCAGATGGCACAACGATTGCTATCCCCACAAGGATTGGACGTCGGTCAATGCAAGTTCCATCAAACTGAACTTCTCATTGACACCATGGAACGCATTCTTCAAACTCATGCATTGGTTTCGACAGAGCGTGATTGGTTGGTCCATTGAGTACACCAACATTGGACTCATTCAGTTGAAAATGCGAGCAACCAAATTGTCGAGCGAAATGAAGAACGCCTCCGGGAAAGGTGGCCAATTGAATTGGCACAACATCTCGTATATTGGTTGCAGCTACATGACGATTGACAACCATGCTGCGAATGGGATTGTGACATTGCATCCGGAAGAAATCAGCAGCTCATTGTGCTGGGAACTTCCGATTGATTGCCAATCCTTCTACCAACTGTACCACCTGGACTGTTGGATTGACAGCTTACCGTCAACGGCATTGAATCGCCATTTGCGAGTCCCATTCTCGATTCGCAACGCCGTTGTTGGCGAAGCAGCTCTATTGTCCGCTGCTGGACAAGAGGAGCAGATTGAGAGCGACGACTCGGAGCGCGATTGCCACGCGGATGGCAAAACGCGCATCATTGTCGAGCCTGGGTCTACCGTCTGGATTGGACCGACCCAGAGATTGGCACGAAAGCGCGAAAGCTCTCGCCATTGAGAAAGTGATTGCAGATCACCAGATTGCCATTGCCAAGGGCAAGTCTGATTGTACATACCGACGCAGATTTCTGCTGGATGACAGTACATTCATTGATGAGCTCTAAGCATTGACATCTACAAATGCTTTTGAGATTCTAGCATTGGTGGACACAGCACAAGTGCAGTGTCCAAGGAACCGTGTTAGATTGTAGCATCAGTTCACCACTGCCATTGTACACATTGGGCCTTTGGCTCAAGGCACATGATTGATCTGATTGCTCGTGAAAAGATCGTCGACCGAGTGATTGCATTCTGAAGCTGATTGCATCTGTGCTCGTGCATTTGATTGTTGCTTGCATACGGCATTCCAGCGAAGCTCACGAACCCTATATATGGAGCCTCTGGGTAATGGGCTTCTTCAAAGCTGAGGACGTCAGACTGTGTTTTGCGCGTGGGCTAAGAGCCTGAAGCACTTGGAGGAGGTTCCTTTAAGGGGTCTTTATAGGGATCTACAGGATTCCTTAAAGGGATCTATAAGGATTAGGGTTTAGGGCCTACTTGGAGGATCATGGGACGTAGTAAGTACGGTTATAAGTACCCTAAGTGGGGATATAAGTAGATGGAACTTCATGGATCCAGGTTTGACTCAAGGTCAAAACCAGGGAAAATCAGGAAGAAAAGCGTGTTTGGTGTTGCACAAAGCAAGTTTGCTTCTTTTCGACCTCTTTTCTTCCCAGTGGTGGCCGACAAGACCCGTCCAGTCCACAAAAAAAATGAAGGTTGAAAGCCAGGTTGGAACCTGGTTTTGGAACCTGGATTTCTGCCATTGTTTTTGTTGTCTCTGCGAATTTTTGTGTGTCCTTTCTCAAAGAAGACGTCACTGTCCCCCATTCAAGTCAGTTTTTCAAATCAAATGTGTTTAAAGCTGGTTTCGATCTGGATTTGAGTTTCTGAACGATTCAGCGGTGTGTGTGCCTGAATGTTTCTGTTTTCGATTCTCGTTTTCGCGTGGTTTACATGCGAGTAAGGAGATTTGCGGTTCAGACGGCTTCAAAGCGTAGAGTTTCACAAAAAGTGGTTTGAGTTGAGAGAGCTGCAGCTCTTAATTCAGCGGAGATTTATTTTCGTCCTTTCAAACCCTCTGCTGAACGAGCTCGCTGCCAGTCTGTGTGTCACACCTCGTTCACTTTGCACGGTTTGATTAGCTTTCTCAATTCTACCTTGTTACTTCTGAGATCCGCTTATGCCAAAAAAAATTTCGTTTTTGTGTGAAGTGAAAGAAAGGTCACTGCACATGGTCGCGTGGAACCCGGATTAAACCTGGGTTTGTTTGGAGCAGGTGTGGGTACCTGGATTGAATCTGAGTTCCGGAACCTGGGAATCGAACCCAGGTTTGAAGAACGAGTTCGTGTGGAACGTTCTGCCTCTCCATCGAGCTGTTAAGAGCGGGTCCTGCTGAACGATTTTTGCGGCCTATGTGTGTCTGAATTTTCATGTTTCGCTTTTGTTTGATTCGCTTTTCATCCTCTAAGCGATTTCGTGTGCCATCTGCTTTTTGTGTTGAAGAAAGCGTCTGCTCGGCTGCCATTGAAAGAAGCGTCGCTGTTTACGTTCTTTTTGTTAATTTTCGCTTTGTAACGGTTTGGGCGGCTTCAGAGACGCGGAGAGTTTGCAATTTGCAAAAAGCGCGGGAGTGGGGGGGGCGGCAAACCCCCTTCGAGCTTTGAAGAGCGGACCTCAACGATTTTATGCGCCTTTGTGTGTCTCTGAATTTTCATGTTTCTGCTTCTGCTGTATTTTTCTGACCCTCTTAAATGATTTCGTGTGGGCGTCTCCTTTCGTGTCGAAGAAGAAGGTCCTCCTTCAGGTCTCTTCCTCAGACCTCCTTGAAGCTTTTCTTCAAACCAATCCTAGGCCTGCCTTGAAGCTCTCCTGGGTTTAACCTGGGTTTGAACCTGGGCGTTGACCTGGAACCTGGGTTTCGCCTGGGTTGGGTTTCAACCTGGGTTGGACCTGGGTGCTTTAAACTTGGGCTCCAAACCTGGGTTAGAACCTGGGTTTCAAACCTGGGTTCAAACCTGGGTTAAAAACCTGGGTTTAAACCTGGGTTTTTAAACCCGGGTTCCAAATCTGGGTTAGAACCTGGGTTTCAAACCTGGCTTTGGAACCTGGGTTTACCCTGGGTTGGAACCTGGTTTTGAACCTGGGTTAAACCTGGGTTCATTAAACCCGGGTTCCAAACCTGGGTTAGAACCTGGGTTTCAAACCTGCGTTCAAACCTGGGTTATAACTTGGACCTGGGTTAAACCCGGGGTTGAACCCAGGTTCAAACCCAGGTTAAACCCAGGTTTCAAACCTGGGTTCCTGGGTTGTTGTTGTTGTTCCCCCCCCCCCGGGGGGAGGGAACCCAGGTTCAAACCCAGGTTCTAACCTGGGTTAAACCCCGGGGGGGGGGGGACCAGCCTCTATTAGAGCTTCTAATCGACCCGAAAGACCGAAAGTTCATTGGGCGGAGTCATGTATGACGTATGCACCGCAACGAATTCATCACCTCCTTTCTGACCCTGCTCGTTCGTATGAACACATTACGCATGCTTTTTATGATCTCCCTCCACACCAACATACAGCGAATGCTCACAGCGCCTCAGGACTAGTCCGGATGGACAGCACTTCTGATCTCTTTTCCGCAAGATACATCCCAAATGCCAGGGCCGTCAGTTTTGCGCTAAAGTTGTACACAAACCTCCCAAGGGCCAAAGGTTATTTGAGCCACCAGTAAAGGAATTGGGTTTTGTCGGTGCTGACGGGCTCGTTTCGAAGAGCCTTCCGCGTTCGAAGCATTCCCATGTACAACATGTGACTTGTTTACATGCCATGGCACTCAGATTCAGTTTCACATTTGACATGTGCGTGCCCCGCATGCGTCTTCAAACGTTCAAAAAAAGGAAAGCATGAGATCCTCGTTGCATGTTCGGAGACTGCCACCTGGATCACAAGCTGAATCGTTGTGGAGCTGTTTTGTGTGAAGTTCGGGATGAATTTGACAACTTTGCAGCAACAAAAGTTGTTTCTTCACAGATCCCGTTTACGCAGGATGACAGTTCGGTTGTTGCGCTTGTGATGGCAAGTCTGACGGCGCTGCATTTTGTTGTGCAGGCGGCCGGCAGCAAACGGTTATTCGGCGCACAATGGGTCTTCGGAGCCAATGAACAGTTGATTTATTTTTTTTTGCGCGGTCTTGGAGCCGATTTAATCCCGATTTCGTATTCAGGCTCGGGCACAGCTTGGGAGCCATATAATCCTGATTTCGTCGTGCCATTTGAGCACCAAGCTTGGAGTTCACCATTGCGAAACATCGAAGCAAAAGACAACTTGTGCTGGGCATCATGTGTCGCCGAGGGGCCGATGCCGGGCAAGTCGCAACCTGGGGGGTGAAAAGTCGACATGTGGTCCCACCAAGCGGATCAATGCTTCATGACATCGGTTTATAGTTTAGCCGGACAATTGAAAAACAACATCACCCAAAATGCGATGCAGGTGGTGCAAGGCATGGCAGTGCACCCGTTTCAAATCCGGTGCAGGTGGATTGGTATGGGACGCCCCTGTGTTCCGTTCGAGCAGCTATCCTTCGCGCTGCCAATGTTTGTCGTAAGCCCAATGATGTTTACTGAAGGGAGCAAGCGATTAGTTTTGATCTTTTGCTGTTGAAGGCTGCGCAATGTAATGACCAGTCAGAAACAAGGTTTGTGGTAAAACGTGTTCTCTCCTGCATCGGCACCATTCATAGCTTGCTCCATTGATGCTTGTGGTGGCATCCAGCATGTGTTTTCTGGGCATGTTGCATGCAAAATCGTGAGACGTTTCGGCTTCGCAGTCAGCCTGTTGTTGCCATCACGAATTCGATGCCAGTTTGATGGTTCATTCGGTTTGCAACGCGGACAGCTTGTTAATGACAGATGTAATTTAATACAAACTGTGCATATGGGCAATTAATTGGCTTGAGCTAGTCTGCTTTTAGCTTTACCAATCCAAAGCATTCCCTTCGGCATCGCTGTTTCACGTCTCGTGCCGTCAGGGCAATTGGTGATGATGTCAATGGCGTCCGACCCAGCCTCGACAGGATCGTTATGTTCACTTGGCACCGATTGTCAGTCTTGTACCAGAATGGGAGGGTTTATCGAGGCAGCAGCAGCGCTTGAAACTCCACTGCCATTGGCTCGTTCTTCGTTCGCAGCAGCATACCCTATGAGGCATTCGATTTGTCAGTTGTCGCCATTTGAGGTCCTTATCTCGACATGTTTGGGGGAGTCCTGGAGTAAGATGTGCGGAGTTGGTCAGCATCCCAAGCTGCTGTCACGATTGGCTTCATGTTCAGTCGGTACTTGTAAATCCAACATGAACTATTCTCTGACTGGCCGTGCAAAATTTTGCCACGGCTGCGTGATTCTGATATCTTCAGGCTCTTGTCGCCAAGGGTGCCAGAAAAGCCACCGGCAGAAGACGAGCACTCGGCGTTCGCTTCTTAGCAATCTCCCTTTGAGGTAAGATTCACAGCCAGTGATTGCACTATTGAGAAGGTACGAAGGTCAGCGAAAGTTTTTGCACTTTCGATTTCGTGCACGCTTTGGTCCCTCCGAAGTCGTCGGAGGCACGTTTAGAATTTAGTCCATGTGGAGAGCTTCCGCATCTCTTGCTTCAGAAATGGGTTCAGGGAGCTGGACAGCCAGTTTTCGGGTTTCATCATGGCTCCCGCTTGCCTGGCAGATCGACCTGTAGAACTGCAGCCTGCGCAGTTGAGACCGAGGCCAATCAGTCCGAATATGGACTTATGTACTCGGTTCTGGTGAAAGCAGTCTAACTGTCTGAAATGCTTGACTCGTACAGGTTCAAGCAGACTTTATCTCATGCTGTTCAATGGCGCCACGTTGGGAGGACGCTGTGGAAGAGGCAAGTTGTGTTTAGCGCAGGTCTGTGTTGGTTATGTAGTGGTTGACATTTGATAGAGGAGATTGCGTGCTTGAAACTGTCACAGGTTGCAGCTGAAGTGCCGTCCTTTGCTGATGAACGAAAATTGTTAGTCGTTGTAGCTACCCGCCTTCCAAGTCCAGGCTGGAACTGGCTTCGAGGCTGCCTATGTCTTTGTTAGCGAACTGTACGCCTGGCCCTCAACATTATCAGAGTGCGGTCTGCCTGAAACCTGCGGGCGCAGTGAATGCCCGTGAAGTTTGGCAAGTGAGGTCGATCAGGCTCAGGGCATGGCACCTGTGCCAGACCCTCAGAACTCCCAGCACATCCCGTGACATGTCCGGGTCTTCCGGAGGGTGGTGAATGTGGCGGTGTCATCCTGCGAGCTCAGAACACTGTCAAGACATGTGACATGTCTAGACGTCTACCCGCCAGCCTGGGCAAGTTACATATTATGTTCATGAGCCGTTGCTTATATTTCTGTTGAGCGGTTCCACGGTCATGCCAGTGAACATCCGACGGGCAGGCAGCTGCCGAGAGCTGGAACTCACGTGTTTTGTTGCAACGGGTTTCGGGCAAGCAGTCATTGATGGCGCCGCGGACGTTGGACTGGATGTGACGACATTCCCTGGCCAAATTGATATATACCCTTCTTCATCCGCATGTATCATGTCCATGGCTTCTTGTATTGGCTGGGTGCGGCTTGGCCTTCGCCAAGGCTGGAAGCAGTCCAACAAAGGCCAGACTTCTGCGTGTACCCACTGCAAGCAGTTTTGATGTGGGTGTGGTTATTGTCATGACGGCAGGCTGGACGTGGAACATGTAGTCCGCGTCTTTCCTTTCAACTTCTGTGTTCCGAAAGCTGCAAAAGCTTGAGATCTCTTAAGGTCGGCGGTGCATGTGCAGGCGCCATTGGCCAAACAACAGGCAGGTGCGGCAGGTGAAGGTTGAACATGACCTGGGACCAAGTCAGGTGAGATGTCTTCTGCCAGGATCTTGAGCTCCAGGGCCGTGAAAGCACCCCGTTTTGGACGTGAATTTTTTGGATCCTGAGGAATATGCTGGAGGCCATCGGCAACCCTGCGAGGCAGCTTGTGTGGGACTCAGGACATGTGAAGGGGATCTTGTTGTTTCAGGTTGAGGCTGGCTTTGTGCTATCTGTTGCGGTGGTCCGAAGTGCTGGTGCCGGAGCCTTAAGCTTTAAACATCGCGCAAGGCCTGAAGACTTCAAGCTGCTGCTAAGAAGGGTTTACCCAAGGCGGTGCCTTTTTTCCTTGGAGCAAACGTCCTGTCCTTAGTTGCAAGTTACCTGTCCATTGCAACGTTCATTTGGCAAGGCTGAAGGAGACCTGGCACTCTTGAATCGTATGGCCAGAACCCAAGCTGTTCCTCCGGGCGCGAAGTTGTAATCTCAAGCCATAGCCGGTGCAACATGGCAGACAGCAGGTGTGATGGGATTCGGGATTCAGCCTCGCAAGTTCGGCTCTTTCACATCGTGAGATTGGGTGACGGACCGTCAACCGCAGCAACCACATCTTCCAGCCGGGTCGAAAGGCCGCTGGAGCCATTGGCGTGTAATGCGTCTCTGGTGACTTGGAAGCCACATTTCCATCACAACGTTCAGCTTTTGCAAGACGTGTCAGCCGTGTGATTGGTGGAGCTGCGTCAGCACACTAGAAACAGAGCAACTCCGCCGGCAATGTGAGCCCTTGTGACAAGCCATGAACCAAGAACGGTTCAGGTAACACATGAGCCAGGACCATGGCGGGCTGTGCGAGCTGCCGGCAGCAGCAGCAACAATCCCATTGAACAACCCCAACAGCGGAATGGCTGTCGTTGGGCTCACATGAAGGGGCCAGAAAATCTGACGGAGCTGTAGATGGGGGCATTGAACAAAAGATTCTGTTCGAGCCGTTTATCAGCGGCTGAATTTTCGCGTGTAGGGACGGCATGGAGCTCCAGATTTGTTGAAACCAGGGCCAAATGGGAGGCCTCGGGAAAAGCATTTGGGGTGTGTCACTGTGTCGGAGGCTTGGGGAACTCGATTTCGCTTCGGGGAATGGGGCCAGGAAAAGCTGCCGCAAAGCTGAAGAAGCTCCTAGATGCGCTTTCCAAGCCTTGAAGAATGCGGTCCGCTGGAACCAAAGCATTGGCAGCACAAATTTCAAGTTTCAGGGCCAAATGCGTTTAGGAGGCCTCGGGAACTGCACTTGGAGGAACAGCAAAGCTGAAGCAGTGCCTACATGCGCTTGCCAAGCTTTGAACACATTGGCAGCACAAATTTCGGGTTTAGGGACCGCATGGAGCCTCCAGATTTGCTGAAAGCAGGGCCAACTTCGTTTAGGAGGCCTGAGAAATGCATTTGGGGTTTGTGGGAGGCTTGGGGAATCTCGGTTTCGCTTCGGGGAATGGGGCCAGGAAAAGCTGCCGCAAAGCTGAAGAAGCTCCTACATGCGCTTTCCAAGCCTTGAAAAATGCATTTGAAGGCCTTGGAGACCAAAGCATTGATTGAGCTTCAGATCTGCTGAAACGCAAGCCATTAAATGCGTTTAGCAGGCCTCGGGAAATGCACATGGTGTTGGTCGGAGGCTTGGAGAACTCGATTTTCGGTTCGAGAGTAGCGTTCGGAACACCAGCAAAGCTGAAGCTGCTCCTAAATGTGCTGTTCCAAGCCTTAAAAAAATTGCATTTGGGGCTCCCTGGAACGAGCATTTGCAGCACGAATTCAGGTTTCGGAACGGCAATGAGCTCCAGATTTATTGAAACCATGGCTAAACGCGTTTGACAGGCCTCGGGAAAGCATTTGGGCTTGGTCGGAGGCTTGGGGAACGCGATTTCGGTTTGGGGAATGGGGCCGGGAAAACCAGCAAAGCTGAAGCAGCTTCTCAATGTGGAGCCGGCCCCGGAATCGCCCCAGAACCGTCTCGGAACCCGCTGTGCGGAACCTGCCGGAACCCATCCTGAATCGCCGGGAACCTGCCGGAACCCGCCCCGCAACCGCCCTGCCTTGCCCCAATCTGCCCCAAACCTTATTTCGGCCCCCAGAGCTTACTCTGTTGGGGAAACACAAAACAGAGACCTCCCGATCTACCTTGTACAGTCCGAGCTTACACAATCTTCGCATCAAATCGCAAGATCGACATAGGCCCAGCTCGTCTTTGAAGCTTCGGCACTTCAGCTTGGGTTCCCGTGCCAATGTGCCCCAGGTGTCTGAAGGCTTTGCGAGGCCCATGCGTCGTGAAATGAACAAACATGTTAGGAAATGCCACCTGTGTAATGAGATCTTGTGAAATTTCACGAAAGCTCATTCCTCCAACTGCAGAGTTCGTGTAATTCTCCGCCTTGCCGACCCTTGTTTGTTTCTTGGGGGTTGTCCTCGGGTGCAAGTGGTTGTCTGCCGGCATGCCTTGCGTTCAGAGCCTCAGGTTGCAGAAAGAAGTAATCACGATGAGCAGCAAGAAGTGTCCATGTTGACAGACAAACAGACAATGTGTGTCGTCAGAGATACGTTTTGCAGTCCCGCTGGGATGATGTTGGTTTGTCTCAAAGGATTTGCGCGGGAGTATTTGTACTAATTATGGTACCTCTGCTGAGGCAGCCAGTGGAGAGGTTCGCTCCATGATTCTGCTTGCGGATCCGTTTGGACCGATTCCGGACATCATGTCCGAACCTGATTCTGCTTTGATTGCACGGCGATTCCTGCAGCTTTTGCCCTGTCAGGCAAAGCTTGGACGAAAGTTTTCCCAAGGTGCGATGGATTCTTGACAACATGTTGATGGTGCAGTGGGGCCTCGTTGGCGGCCCTTTTCGTAGAGGTCCCCAAAGCGGGCGGCATCACCGCTGCGCTGCAGGCTCCGAGCTGTTCTCGTGTTTCATTGTTTTGTGTGACCTCTGGCGAGGTGGGGTCGGACGGGCGGTCCTCCTTCATGCCGTCGATGGCCATCTGCTCCAAAGGCTGTTGCAGCCGATTGCGTTGCAAAGCGCACATCCGAGACTGATAGGCAATAAAGCCCGGCTCTTGAGCAAGGGAGTCTGTGGGCCAGGCTCCAAGAACAAGAAACCCAGCAACTTGTAGCAATTACGCTTACTGCCAACAGATTTGGCGATCTCTGCCAGTCGCAGGCTTCTGCTCACCGAGATGGATGCGGTTTTCTCAGCCGAATGCAGCTCAGGAGGATGGCAATCTTGCAGATATGAGACCGTACTGAAGGTTCACACCGTGGTGTGTCAGGGATGCTTGGGAGTAGGCCCTGCAGCTTGGAGCCAAGACGTTTTACTCCCGTGTGACAGTACATCATGACATGCAATTTAGAAGCCATGATACACTCAATGCAGAGTCAACTTTGAGAGGGGAGCTTGCTTTCAGCTCTTCGGTGCGGAAGGAGAACCTAACTCAGTTCGGGCCTGGTGGCATGGAGCCCTTTTCGGGGGTCTCATCACCTCGGGTTGTGCTCGTCAGTAGGACAGTCACGGCCTCCTTTATCGCTTCGGCATGCAACGTCAAGCCGAGAACTTGTCTTTAGGTTCGGAGGCATGCTTCAAGGTCACATGAACCGGTTCCAGGTCATGCATGCCCTGGCACAGTGTAACGGTCTCTTGAAGTCGTAAATAAGTCGGATGCATGTGGGTAGTTCTCTAAATGAGGATCCCTTTGTAGGTACCCAAAATGGTACGGCACCCTCATAAGAAGGACCCTCAAAGGGACCACAGTTCTGAGAACAAGCAATGTCCAGAGTTCAGTAGTGTTCAGTTTCAGGGGCCTGAGCAAATTTTTATCTGCAATACAGGCGCCTGGGAACCAGCGGGAAAACGGCAGGAGAGGCGAGGGGAAAGCGGGAAAAACGGCGAGGAGGCAGGCGACCGGGCAGTAGAGGCGTCGACAGGCTGCGGGAGGGAAGCTCGGCTGATTGGGGGCCAGGGCATGTACGGGGAGGCCAGAGACATGGGGTTTAAGTGCAATTTCCGATTGACGGAAAGGACAAATCTTGCTAGACAGCCATTCGCTCAGTAGGACAAGGTCATTATCAGTCGCCAGTGTTTTGGATATGGAAGCACTAGCCGCAGGCAGCAACACAAACCGTGTGTCCTCGTCGGTGGGATGCGAGCCGGTCTTCGGGTCAGACGGGCGAATTTCGTGAGTGCAGCAGTTGGAACATGTATCGCCGCCGAGGTTCGGATAAGCAATGTTTCGCCTTCTGGTGACGTTTGCATCGGCATCGGAGGAAGGCAGTCCGCAGTTGCGTGCAACATGAAAGTGCAAAATTTTGCCGGAGGGTTTCTGTAGGGACAGCTTTTTTCACACTAGCCGGCGAGAGCAAGAAGATGAGTGTGATCTTCAAACCATGAAGTGCGTCTATGATGGCAGGGAGTCCTCTGACCACTTTCCTTCCTTGGCAGATGTTCTGCCATCGCCTGTCGAGGGAAATGAGCAGCTCCAGATTCAATGACGAACACGATGACAGGGCTGACGAAAGCGCCAGTCCCGTCAGAGAGCATTCCGGCGTGTGCGGCACAACCTCTGCTAGTCTCCGGGCATTTTTGCGGGAGGGGACACTGTTAACTGTCCCGGGGAGACCCGTCTAGAGCCGAGACAACGGCTAACGTAAGCACCGGGATCTTATCGAAGCTCAGACAGTAAACATTCCAAAGCCAGTCCTCAGCCGTCAACCACGGGGGCGTGCCGGCAAGTACCGGTACATACCAGAATTGGTACAGCGGTCGAACCTGGCATGCAGAAGCTCAGTGGCTGCAAGCATCCGATCAACCGAGAAGTCACAACGACCAAAGAGCTAGGACAGCAGCGGTCGGTGAGAGATGTCATCTGGACACATATGCAGTACGTAAGAAGGCGGCCAGCTTGAAAATATAAAAGAGGCCGTGCGGGAAGAGCATGCTTTATTCGAACCGTATTTCACACAAATTCTTTTCAAGCCGGGCCCTCGAGTGATTGAGAGCACCTTTGAAAATGGGTTATAGTGGCAACGAGAATCGGTGCGGGTATCATTGATTAGGACCGGCATAGAGCAAGAGTGAACGAACAACTTCAAGTTCAGAAGCATTCGGTATTCCTAGCCTGGGATCTTGGAGGCCAGCCAAAGAGGCTCTCCTTCTGATCTTCAGCGCTGTGAATGAGGCTGTTTTAACATGTCCGATCTGCTGATTGTCTTCAGTCGTACCAAATGAAGGAGCTTCGAGCTAAGATGCAGACAAACTTAGTCGTGGGCTTGGGCCGTACCTTGGCTTGAAACATGATGGGCCTTGAGCTGCGAGCCACAACTGGCAGCAACGAGGTCAGGGCGAGAGCGAAACCTCAGCCCAGATCTCAAAGGCAAGTCAATTGTGGAGGCGCTTTCAATCGAGCATCAGGTTGATGATGGAGACTGGCTCATCCGTGGCATCGCGGAGGCCTGCAGCTTGCACGCATGCAGGACAGTTGAGGGGATAGGACCTAGGATGTGCAAGGTGACCCCCAACGGAAGCTTCAGGCTGGGGCCTGGAATTGCTGAGGCCCGGTGAGAGGAAAAGCAGGCTAGCTTTCGCTAGTGTATCGACCCAGGATCTGGAACGAATGGATGTGGCGTGTTATTGCAGCAGCGCTCACGAGCAGGGCCAACCCCTTCGCTTCCACGTTCGGGACAAAGACTCAGCTGAAAGCGACCTGAAGCTGATGCTGAAGCGATATCGGCCAGCAGCCTAAGCCCACATTGGCCAACATGTGGCGGGTGAGCGGCAATCCTGAGTCGAAGGTTAGAGCGGACCTTCAGTGGTAGCAAGGCAAGGCCTAGGGTGTTGGGAGATCTACGGCTCAGTGCTCTGCCGTCGCTGCGAGAGGAGCCCATCGGTTCCCTGCTCTTTACCTGCAACGGACGGGGCAAGGCCCGCCGGGCAGGGCGGTTCAGCGCTTGAACTGTGCACGGACCGGACCGCACTTTGAGGGACTCTATGGGCGACAGCACGTCGATGCACGAGCGCTCGAAGAAGCTTTGGGAGAGGAGCTGGGGCGGAGCGCTCCTCAAAGCACCCCTGCATCGCGTATCGGCCAAGCGTGGCCTTGAAGTCATCGGATCCTCCGAGGCGGGTGAGTGGCTTCTTCTGCAATGGGGAGATTGGCTCGTCGTCTTCTCAGCAGTGAAAGCTGGCTAGCCATCATTTCACTTTCAAAATTCAAGGCCGGGATTGGTGCTCCCAGCAGCAGAGTTGGGCGAACGTCCCGAGGCATTTTGCTTTGATTGCAACGGGGCTTGCAATGAAGCATCATCGTTGCGGCAGGTAAGAAAGACGGCACTGCATGGCTTCACCGCTGTGTTTGCGATTCTTGACAGCAAGGTAGGAATGATATTCTGGGAAGTTGCGAACTGCCGGCATGCTCAGGATTCTTGTGCCAAGCAGCTCAAAGTCCTGAGATGAGCCAGCCAGTCAGATCGCGGCATGTCTTCGCTGCCAGCGGATAAACTCGTGCAGGATGTGGTTTGGAGCCGCAGGGATGTTGATCACTGGTTAACTTGTGCATCCTTCCTGTACAGTATGTCGCACGAAAGGCTTTAGGCTTCGGAAACACGAACATCATCCTGGAATTGTTTCTCGACTTGACCTGAACAATTACATTGGTGCAGCAATGGTCCACCGCGTAACAACCCTTTCCTGTGCATATCTTGGAATTAACGAGGTCTGCGTCCTTTGTTCTTCTGGTGTGAAAATCCGACTTGGAGACAACAGCATTTGGAACATGTGGAGTGGGGTCTGGACAATCTGTGGGGAAGCTGCGAATTGACTCATGGGAGTCGAGAGGTTTATGCCTTTCCAGGCGGCGTGTTTACCAGTCAAAGAGGCGGAAAGCAGAAGACGAGGCAGAAAGGAAAAGAAGGAGGCGAGGGAGAGAGACAGAGGAGAAGCTAGATGCTGAGCCATGCTCAAGGGAAGAGACATGCATGCGCAGTCCTCAGCTTGGCCTATAATCCAAGATGGGCGGCCCTTGAGCTCCAGCTTCAATTCTTGGCCAATAAACTCGTTTCTGATCGGAATCGTATCCATGCGGCCAACTGGATTGAAGCCGGTAGAGGCCAGTCCCATGTGTTCCGAGTTCGCTGCAGTTACGAGTGCAGTATCGACTGCTCATGTGGCTTGAGCCCTCCCTTCGGCCCCTGACCTTCAGCAAACCCCTTTCGGAGGCCGCTCTCAGATGGGTGGAGCGGCATCAGCTGTCAGACGGCTGACGCGGAGTTTTACCAAGAAGGTGCAGCTCCACTGTAACAGTGATATTTTGTGACAATTTGTGACATGCATGGTTTGCACTGCCTGTTTGGGTTTTTGACCCGGCTCAGCATGTGTCGAGTTAGGCTGAGAGTTGATGAGCAGTGAGTGCTGCTTTTGCCGGGTTGAAGGCAGAGGATAAGCACCAGGTCACTACAGGTGCTGCAAAGGTAGGACCAGGACGAGGCATCCAGGGATGGGGACCATGTCCGGGGCCGCTTTGCCCATGTCCTCCTTCCTCACAAAGCAAAGGTGAAGTTCTCACGTTCTGTAGGGCACTGGTATTCCAAGGTGTCTGTGTCTACGAAGCATCGTGTCATGGGTTTCTGTCCATTCCCGTTCCGTCTCGTCTGCTCTCCTTTTTCCCGTGCACCTGTGCTTCACCGTTTCCTCGCCGAAGCAGGGCTCCGACCTGACACACTGCATTCCCGCAGTGGTGACTTCTGAGGTGCATCCGGAGGGGCCGTGTCCAAAGCCAGACACGGCCGAAGGAAGGGAGCGTGAGAGCCTCGGATAGGTTTTCGAGTCTTGCAGCCGTGCAGACACTGTGACGAGGAGAAGCGCCAGAGCACCCGAGCAAGCCGAGTAGGGACCTGAACAAAGAGTCAGGTCGCCGCCCCAGCAGGGCCGACAGGGCCGACAGGGCCGAAAGCGAAGGAGGCCCAGGCGGCCCAGGCGGCCCAGGCCGGGCGGAAGATCGCCGGAACGCGCAGAGCCCTGCGCCGATCAGAGGCGGAGGCGGAGGGAGCGGGGCCCTGCCGGACGCGAAGACCGCGAGCGGCGCGGCTTCCGAGCCGAGCCCGGCGAGGCCCCGGAAAGCGGCTGGCCACACGCAATCGCAGCCAGCGCCGGAGAAGGCGAAGGCCGAGGCAGCGCAGGCGGTGGGGCCTTCGGCGCCTGCAGCGTATCCAGCAGTAGATCCGGTGCCGCCGCCTCAGCCAGAGACTTGGGCGGTCTCTGATACGGAAGCACGGGAACTCCGCTGTTCTGAGGTCGGAGGATGGTGTTTGTCACGATCAACCGGGTCAGCCGGTGCCTAGAGCAAAGGCGCGGTGGCAGCAGTACAATAAAACATGGGCAATCCCTTGCGATTTTCGGCCTGAGATCGCCACTCCGCCGGACAAACCTCAATCACTGCCTCCTCCATGGGTGCGCTCGCTGGCTGTTGTCGCGCTGCATTGTTCACTGCTTACACAAACCTGGACGACAGGTTCGGGTCCCGTATGAGGCCTCTCAGCCAGAGATCTTTTTCTTGACAGCAGTTCCATGTGTTGGAGTATCTTGGTAAGATGCCAGGACGACTCGTACTACTGGAACACCGAAACGGATGAGGTCACGTGGGACTTCCCAGCTGACGACTCAGTCGGATAATGCACGGCAAGATGCCTTGTTGCGTGGTCTTCATGTGCTTGTGGGTGTGTGCGGTGCATGTGTGTGTATAAATATATATGCACGCATACACATGTATATGTATCTGTATATGTGTCTATCGATATATGTACAAATGTATAGAGTTAGCTATGTATGTACTCTGCATGTGTGTGTATACATATATATATATATATAACTAAATGGATTCATGTAAATATGTATAGATCTGTATAGAGAACATTTGTATATGTACACATGTGTATGTATATGATATACATATCTATGTCTATTTTGTTAATGTCCATGTGCATGAAGCTGTGGCAAGTCGATGCGTTTGGAAATAGGTCTTCGTCTGGATATGAGTCGGCCGCCATGTGTTGTGGGGAAAGCTTCCGACAAGCAGCAACCCAATGCATCGTTGCCTGTGGCAGACAAGATTAGCGAGGCTGCCAGTCCAGGAAAGCTTGATATGTTAGTCGTTTATCTTTTTCCAAAGTGTGCAACTGCCTCTTGCTGTCACGGCGACATGATGACCACACGCGCGAGTTTTCTCCTCCACGTGCGTGTTTTCGAAAAGCGCTCTGGGCTTTGGGTGCTTGCAGAAGATAACCAGCTCGACATGCTCCTGGTTGACGGGGCTGGCAGTGTTGTGTTGATCACAACACGGCCGTTGACGGGGCAGGCGTAGGCAAGGCTCGGGCAGGGGCGGGATCTCCGTTGACGAGCGGTCGTGGAAGAGGGGGTCGGCGCGATATAGCCGTACAACATTGCGCAAACTTTGATGGTAGCATCTTCATTTTCGGGCGGGTTTCAGGGTGCCTGGCTTAACCTTGATTCGCTGTTGATGCTCCTAACTAAACTGCAAGGCATGCTGCAGATCAGTAGATGCAAAGGAGCAGTAACTTTACAGAACGGTGCAGATTTGTTTATACACACTTGTTCGATAATGTCTTTGGTGTCAAACAGAATGACCCAGCAAAGCACCTGGTTCATAGCTATCCCCGTCATCGTCACAACCACCACACGGCCTGTACATGCTAGATTTACGCAGGTGGGTCAAGGACAAGCAGTCCATCGACAACTGGCTGTCGTGGGCGTTTAATTCATCTTGTGAAAAGGCAGGATTATTCTGCCAGCCACTTGTCACCCACGGACCTCCAACAGTTGATCAACAAGTTTCAAGCCAGCAACCTAAGCAACGCAATCGATCCGACGCGACACGGACCTCTGACAACAGCATATCATTGACCTGACGAAGCATGCAATCCACATTTTCCAGTCTCCCTCAGCTGCTGACTCGACATCCTTAGTTGCATCGGATCTGCTCGAGAAGTGCCTGCAGCTGTCGCAAAGGCTACCCTCGTGAGCTAAGCACAGATTTCTTCCTCACCTCCTTGGCGCTTTGAATGCTAGGAGAAAGCTATCAGCTACTACGGTCTCAGTTTGTCCGCACTGGTCGAGTAGATCTCCACATGGTTACCGCCCTAGTCCAGAGCCACTCGACAGGAAAACACCTCCGATAGCATTTTGTGACGAGCCGGCTTCATCACCACCTGCCCGGACACGATGCAGCATCTGCACGGTAAGATGCGCGGTTGCTTCACTTGTCTCGATGTGGTTCCTTGCTGCGGGGTGGTCTTCATGGGGAGCTGAGCAGTCAAGACAAGCTCATCGCAATTTGCCAGCTCTTTCCATGCCGGCCCGCCAGGAGTTCCAGCGTTCTCTGCCACATATCCATGACTATCATGGAGCACTTGGCTATCCTCTCACTGTAGCTGCATGCGCAAATGTTGGTAGTGATCATGCGAAGCCTCAAGAGTGTCGAACTGCGCATCGCACATGTTACAAGCAAAACTGTCCACAATGGCACCTTGTTGATCGACCTCTGATGCCGCTTTCGCAGGGAGCTTGCCACATGCATGCGTGCCGACACCACATCGCAACAACTTGTCTGTGGAGGAAGCACTGGTGACCAGAAAGTAAAGCTTCCATAGGTGGATCGGTGAATGCTGATTGGCGCAGTGGACTGCCAAAGCTTTTCTCGGCTTGAAACCTGTGCTCACATACCTGTTGCATGTTTGAAATATCGAACAAGTCCGCTTGAACCGGTCGTGCGGTGCAGTTCTGGTATCTGTCGGCTCGCAATGCCATAAGTTGGCCATTCGGGGGTTCTCCAAACCATTCAAAACCTGAAATATTTGGTCAGCATGCTAGAATCATGGAGTAATTGCAACGAAGATCCCACAAACAGGTCAGAGCAACGAACACTTGCCGTTTGGCCATCAGCATATCGAGGTTGTGGCCGAGTCTGTGCATGGGGAACTTTGTGATACACAGGCAGGGCTTGCAGGGCTTGCAATGGCAAACTTAACGTCAACCAACGTCGCTGTGACAGGTTCTACCGGGTGTCGAAAACCGTGAATCCGATGAATCTGAGGCGAGAGCTAGTCCGTGGGTTCCTAGCTTCTTCTGACTGTGCTTGTGCGGGTAGGAAGAGGATCTTATGGCGGTGTTGAGCTCTTGCCGGGAAGCGAAGGCTATGCCATGGCATGCCATGCCATGCTCCACGTTCGAGTGTGTCACTTGCATCATTTCCTTGCAGGCCTGGGGCGTGCTGGAGAGCTTGGGCTCAAAGCAAGAAGACCAAGGTGTCCTCAGACAGGAGCTTTCGCCATGCGCTCCATCTCAAGCAGCAGGGACTGCTGCCACATGTCAGCTGGTGGATGAGCATCTCCCATCCAGGGAAGCCTTGGACTTGGACCGGGACGAATCCAATGGCACATGCGCAGACGGAGCGGCCTTGGGAGAACTAGAGACGGAACGAGGCCCCGCACCTGGCAAGTCGGTAGACGTGCCGGCACATCGTGATCGACCTACCGGCTCGCCCTCTTCCAGATTTGCAGAGACTTCTCCAATCTCAGCTCTAGTGCTTCGTGCAGGTGGGGGCTGATTCTTTGTGCGCCATAAGTGAGTAGATGAAGCTTAGCGGGAGGCCCTTTATCCGCCCATGGAAGCAGGGCGAGCCAATTCTATGACCTCGCGTTGGCCTCGGATTGACAACGTGGAAACCTTTCAGAAGTCTGTCACAACGTTGATAGCTTCGCCAGGTGAAACTGCGTCGTAGCACTGACTGCGCTGAAGGCTGCCGGATGTTTCTTCGCTTGATTTATCGAAAAGGTGGATTCCGGTGTAGGCAAGAAAGGAACCACAGGTCACGTGAGAAATTCAGACTTGACATACTTCGAACTGGCATGAACAACAATGCCTTTGGTCAGGAGCCAACGGCTTCTTCGAGACTTATCGAGTTTTGCGAAAGCGAGGCTTGCCAGTCGGCGGTCACTTGGCTGTTGCGCGCGGCTGAGTCCGGAGGAGGGGACGCCCAAGCGCTCTCCAGCAGCTGGCAGGACAAGGATTGGGGACTTGGGTTTTGTCCGGCCTCCGCCGGCCTGCGGCGCCTTGTGGAGGCCTGGCATTCAGCTCAGGAAGGCCAGGCTCAGCCAGGCTCAGGTGCAAAGCTGTGGACTCCGACTCCCCGAGTCAGGTTTGGAGCGGGGCCCTGAGGAGGTCCGCACCGAGGCGATGCCGAACCCGTCCAGTGGCGAACCAGTGCTTTTGTAATCCCACCGTGAGTTTTTACTGTCTGTGTGTATGTGGACGTATCTGCAGGATGACAGCACAGGCGAGGATGTTGTGATGGCAAAGCAGCCAGAAGGCACTATCCTTACGAAAGTTACAGTAACAGCTGCATGCAGCCTACATGCAGGGCATTGTCGGGAAGTGACGATGCTTGTGATCTGTAGTTAGCTCGTTGCGCGAGGCTCGAGGCCATCTAGTCCGACCGCTGCGCAACCGAAGCGCAATAATGTGAAGTCCTCAGCTCTGTCCATTGTTTCGAAAGAGAGTCGATGCCGCAACAATGGTCGCAACAGAAGACTAGAAAGCAAGGAAGTCTTTGCAAAGCGAAAGAGGACAAGGCAGCCGCCAAACAAGCAAACTAGTGGGGCTAAACATACGGCAAAGCGCTGGCAGCTCAGCAAGCGGTTTTAGCAGACTTGTGTCTTTGAGTCCAAGGCACCTCACCAACCTCAGGTCAAGTGGCTACTCCAGCGCGCGCATCTGCAGATGCAGCACTGGTGGCAGAGCGCCGCCGAGAGTGTGCTGTTATCATTGTCCGTCTTCAGGTACACAAGTTGTCCGAAGACTTGTTACTTCCTGCTTCCCCTCTCCTCTTCACTCTCGCCCTCACTCTTTCTCTCCCACTCTCCCACTACCCCTCTCTTCTCGCTCTCCCTCGCTGCCCGCCTCTTCCCTCCCTCTCCCTTCCTCGCTCCCCCCTCAGTTCCCCAATCTCGCTGCTCTCGTTCGGCCCTTTCCGAGGCATACACTTCGTCTGGGTCATGTGGCAAGTGGAGCAATGGCTGGGTCCCGAAAACCGCCCAAAGGGCGGCATGAGGATGTGAGACTGCGAGAGAAGGACGTTTCTTGTGCAAATCACGAAAGGTCCTGCACATCGGCGTCCCAAATGGCAGTGAAGGTGGTTTGTTTCGGTTTCACTCCGGACAGAGAGCACGGCGGTTCGACAATTCGAAACTCCTGCGTCCGCACTAGCACTCCTAAGTGTCCCCGTCTCGACTGGGAAGCTGCGAGTGCAACAAAGTCAGGAAAGGTGATCTCCCACGTGGACTGCACAAGCACGGACTGCTCCTGCTTGTGAGACTCGTTCTCGCCGTCCCTCAAGATTGACTTGCAGCGTCATGAGTGCAAAGGGTTCGCCATCTGCACATACGCATGGATCATGCTTCGCTTCTTCATAAGCCTTGAGCCACTACCAGTGTGACGATATGCTGGTACGCAACAGACGTCTTAGCAGCTCATGCATTGTCCCGCTTGAAGCGAGAACAGCGGCTGCATGAGCATAAATGCAGATCCATTCGGCTTGCCGGATGGCGGCACCACAACGCAGCTGCCCTGGATTTTGCTTTCACTGTGATTTCTGTGACCGACTTGTTGACCCAGGACTGGTCAGCTGGTTATGAGCATTGCACAGACTGGATCCGACAACGGTTTCAAATGCTTCGAGACCTTGGTGAAGGCCAGAAACGAAACGCAGAGCAAAGAGCATCAAAGAGCGAAAGAGTGGAGTCTCACAGATAGCAATGGATGCAATGGCTGGGCTCCGTCCTTGAGGCGGTGTGCAACACGGTCGACAAGCCGGAGGAGCCGACAACCCAGCCGTTTGCACTCCCGGTGCACATGGTGCACTGCGTGTCATGTCTTCTCAATTTGCAGTGCGTTGCCCTGGCTTCGGATGTCATTGCAGGCCCAGGTACAGAGAGCTTCGGCGCGATGTTGCTGCGGTTGTCCAGGTGCAGATTCCGTGATGCCTTGTTTCAGCTGTTTGCACGGACACCGCTGGAGGTAGATGCAGTCCCTGCCTGTGCGATGCTTTTGCGGAGACTGGGCTTCAAGGCTCGTCAACCGTTCTGCTCCGTCGCCTGATGCTTACATGCTCACAAGACTCGCAAGGACATCGGTGATCGGTACCGTCTTCAGTACAGCGGTCTCCGGTCTTCTGAGGTTACGATGAAGACTGCAGCCGTTGCCTTGTCATTCTTTCGCCATCGGCAGGTCGCTCGTTTCCAGTGTGCGCTGAATGAGCTGGAGCATTGCAGGCCGTTTTGCCGGGGTCAGATTGGTTGGGGATTTGCAGCTCATGAGTCCGGAGTCCGCCCTGCAGTGACCTGGTGGTCCGCCTGGCTCCAGCCATCGATGCCTTGGGCCGTTGACACAGAGAAGCTGAGCACATGTCCGACCTTTTTTGACCTTTCACCAAGCCCCCGGTCAAGGTCTTCACTGGACCAAGCCCGATGGAAGCTCCACGTTCATGCCTGGTCCTACATATCGTCACAGCCTTGATGGTTTGCAGATAGTGCCGTGGCTTTGAGCTTTCAGCTCCCCACCGGCGATGTAAGCCGGCTGGGCTGCAATGCCGTTGATCAACGCAGCGGTTTGCTTGACCTCCCGGTCTCGACTTCAGGCGAGCGCCAGCAGCGAGAGCGTGACTTGCAGTGGCCTGTGCTTCTGCAGCTCGCCGACAGAACAGAGAAACCCATTCCTGAGAGCTTTCGCCGCCAAAGGCTCCAGAGTGCGAGAAATGGAGGCTGGCGAAGCAGTCGAGGCATCTTTGTAGTTTGTGCAGAGTTTGTGTAGAGTTTGTGCAGGTTCCTGGACCGGGTGCGGAACCCAAGATTCGCTCGCGATCTGCGAAATGCGAGACGTCGCCTCAACGAGGCAGACGGCCGGCGGGGATTTCCCATCTGCCGATGACGACGAGGAAGCGCAGCTGTTCGGGCCCTGGGTTGCGGTCCCCCTCCGCATCCTCGATTTCATTTGCACTGCCGAGGCAGGAAGCGCTCAGACTGTCGATGATCGAAAGCTGACGAACAAGAGCTCCTCAGATTCAGACCGACTCACTTCCCATGCTGAGTCAGCATGCCGGCATGATCAACGGACTGAGTTGCTTGCTGTCGTCAGCTGAGCGTATTTCACACTGCTCAAGAGATAGGTGCGACACGAACACGGAGCATAGACACTACTGGGGACAGAACCTACTTTGCACACGCGCACACCCACACACATGAGCAGTGATTTCTGGTACACATACAACCTTGTATGAGGTCGGTATGTAGCAACTCTCGAGCTGGATGAGTGGCCAGCGCTGACTTTAGCACTTGCCCCCTTTAAACCATTCCATCCTCCAGTTCTTCACGTCTGGTGGGGCGCTTGACGAAATAAGCAAGTCTTCGACACTTGGTGCGAGCAAGGTCGCAGTCCCTCGCTCCGCACCCTCCTTCGTGCATCCATCCGTGAGCGGCTTCACACCAAGACCAGATGCTTGCAGAGAAAAGCACACGCCCGTGCATACAGCAGCAGGAGGGTAGCAAGTTATGAAAGCTCGACTGTCTTTCGCTGGATTGCGTTGAGGTGCTGCCTTTGCCTGGTCTCGTTTTGCTTGAATCTCTCTGTGTGTGTATGTGGTTTTGGCTGAGTACGGGTCGAGAGTCTGCTGCCGCGATGGTTGTTTCAGGCAGCCCAGCTTCACGAATTCATCACTGGGCCGCAGTTCCTTGCGAAGCCTTGCCGGACCCTTGTGTTGAGGCGGCTGAGAAGGTTGCGAAACAACGATGGACAGGACCACAATCCCATCTCGACAAAGCTTCCATGCTAGCATCCGCCGCCAGAAAGGATTGCCGCATTGTTGCCGCAGGTTGAACTCCGGGTATGGGTATGGTCGAGTGAGTGAAGTGCAAAAGCTGCATGCCCAGCTCGCACCAAGTTTAGTTGCTACATGAACTGGCGGCTTGCGGATACACTGATTGTTGAGTGGTCGTAGTAAAAGCCGGACATGCTTTGAGACAGGTCGTCCGTCCGACTCCCTGTCAGTCCTCTGCCAGTGGACGAACTGAACCCCTTTCAGGTCTGGTGGTTGGGCTGGAAGAAACAGCTGTTTTGAGCCTGGGCTTTGCAGGCCCATTCCGACCAGACGATCAAGAGAGTGACAGCCTTGGAGACTTCCATGATGGAGGCGGGAAGCAGCTTGCGACAGCGGTCTGAATCGAATCGGTCATGGCTGGAGGCGAATTTTTTTTAGTGCTGCTGCGGTTATATGGACCGCTGTGCACGTTGCAACCTTCACGCTGCGGAGCGCATGTTTTCGCAACCTTCGCGGTGGGGGCAACATTGTAGTGGTAGCGGTGCAGTGGTACTGTAGCGGTTGTGCTACCAGACGGTATTGGTAGTCAGCAGCTGACGGACAGTGTAGTGGGGTGGGGTTGTCACAACGGACTGGAAGCATCCCCGCAACCGCAGACTCCATCCACGCAAGCAACCCCCAAACCCCAAAGTCCATGCGCGTATCCAAGCCGCAACCCGATGAGATATTCCAGAGCAGCAATTTCCAACCAAAAAGCCTGAGAAGGCATGACAAGCCCTCCAAACTTATCCACGTAAAATCACCAGAATATGGAAGGCTTCCCAAGACCGGTGGCGCCTCTTTGGCGGGACGGACAAGATACCCCAACGTTAAGACCCCGAGTCCCAAACCCTCAACAAATAAGCCTCAGCAGCCTGAAGGGCCAAACCCCGAATCCCCAAAACCCCAAACTCTGAACCCTAAAGCCCTAAAGCCCTGAACCCCGGGGAGCCCAAGCAGGAGGAACATGGTACTAACAAGAAGCAAACAAAGAACACTGAGCCCCCAAGCCCGAGCGCGGGGTGTTGCACGCAGACAAGCGTCATGAAAATTCTCTTGACCAGTCATGTAAAAACTGGCAACCCGCCTCGGTTATCTTAAGTACAGAACGGAGGGGGGGTGCCTGGGCGGGGCCTTGACGTTTTTTGAAGGGTTTTCTTTCGCAACTGTTCGCCTAATTCGTCCAATTCCTTCAACCCCTCAATCCCCCCACCCAGATCGAGGATTGACAGGTGTTCGGACCCAGGCCCAAAAGTCCTTACAAATGTCTGGCAAAGGGAGTTGAGGGGATGGGAACAGACTAAGACTAAGTCTGGTCTAGACGCCGAACCGTCATCGCTCCAAAGATCGCTTGTACTGCCGTTGCAGGTCACACGGCGGCTGGATGACTGGACGGAGGCAAAGGGCCTAGATTCCAGATGCTCGTCATGGATAAAAGCTAAGCTTCAACTGAGCTGACAAGTGCTGGTAGTTCCTCGTCAGCAGCGCTTCTGGCATACGGTTGCGTTCAGAGGTCACGCGGGAAGGAATTGCAGATTTGCGGGCCGAGATTGGCGCGGCTTCAAGCCCAGCCCGCTGCAGCCGCTGCGATTTTTGATCGATGAGCTGCGAAGCGGAGCGAAGCGGAGACCTGCGAAGGTCAAGCTCGAGCAACGCTTTTCGCAGACCTTGCGAAATGCACCAAACCAAGGCCACAAGCAGCGCTTTGCGTCATTTTGCGTCTCTGACCTTCTCTTCGCTGATGCACGCGTGAGCCGTGAATCTCAGGAGATGTGCTGAATCGTTTCCAGCAGGATGCAGCCACTGGTACTCCTTTGGAGGCTGATTGATCCTCGCACGTTTACTCACAATCGATCGGTTCTGAAGCGGAGAGTTCAGGGTGGAAAGCAGGCGGAAGGCATTGGTGAGGCAAGACAGCATTGTGGAACAGAGGGCCTGCGGCAGTGTCAGCGTGAAAGTCCACGCCTCTGCACAGGACCTGAAGCATCGCTTCGAGGTTTTTGAGGAGAAGCTGTCCGTCCGGCACCTGGTCACAACTTCCATGAGGGAACGGAGGGCTTGTGGACCAGTGTTCTGGTCCGCCAACGGCTGGAGGTGCTTCAGGCTGAAGTCGGAACCTGTGCGTGTGTCATGTGTCTGGACAGGCTGCTTTACGGGAAAGTGACGGTCAGACCTCCCGCCGAGCGGATGAACTCCAGGCACTAGTAACTGTAGGCTTTGGCAAGCACCATCACTAATCGACTTGAGGCACTCCTCAAGGAGGAAGAGGGCCGTCGCATGTTGCTCTTCGTCCGTCTCGAAGCTGTGGAGGAAATGGGTGATTGTCTTGGAGTTGCTATCACGTTCTCTCACTGGTCAGGCTTCGCTGCAAGACCTGCGAACGAATCAGAGGGACATCGCTTCGGCGAATGAGGTCGTTGCTGTTCATGTCATCGCTCTGTTGTCTGCTGTAATTGACAGGTGACGGAGAGGGTCTTGAAGGGTGAGCTCAAGAAGGAGGCCAGGCACGCCACATCATTGTTGTCGGGCAGCCTGAAACCTTCTCAGTTGTTGCTACGGCTGGATTGAGCAAGCGTTGCTTGGACAGTGAAAACAAGCTTTGACCCCGTCGCTGTCAAGCAGAATTTCACTGTCCAATCAGTGAGCGCCGTGTGCAGTCAGGCATCTGGAATGCTTCACGAGTTTGACGCTCGCCTAAAAGCCGGAGTCCCAGCAATGCCTGGGCCCCGGGCTGTCATGGAATCATCCTGCAGTCTGCGAGGCCCTGGAAAGTTCAGCCATCACGACAGATGCTTGGAAGCACCCGAGCTGTGCACGTGTCCGAATTACATGGTTTCCGGGCGACAGTTCGCCTCTCTGATTTGAAGTGTGCGATGCGGGATTGTGGGATGCAGTATTCCAGCCTGTTAGTTTGAAGTTGTGATCCGGTGACGGGAGCTGCCAGGACACAGTCGCGGCGGATCAGAACACCACTGCTGCCGATCTAGGCACCTTCGACGACCTTGATGCTGTTTGTTGTTGTGGCGATCTATGGCGACATATGGTAGAAAATGCTTGGTATCGACCTTGCAGAGGCGAAATCCGGGCGTCGCTTTTGTCATCAACAAACGACATTCTGCGCTTGGCACCGGCCTTCAAGCATGATCGATTCTTCACAGCTTCTCCCCAAGTAGGCCAAGGAAGTCGCAACGATCCGAGAGGCAGGCACATGGGTTCGGCTCATCCGCAGATTCAAAGTTTTGAGCACCTGGAAGGAACATGATCAAGCGATTGGAGACCTTGGTAGTCTCACCGAACGTGTGGCCAAGTCCGCCATTGCGGGCATTCAGCGTTCGGAGGACGGCAGGGGTTTTTCTGTAGCTGTGCTCGTGTTGTGCCCAGAGGTGGAGCTGTCTCAGCTCATCCTAGCACGGGTGGAACCACGCGTCGCTTCCTTGGAGGCTTGGGAAACTCTTTGGAGGGTCAGGGTCGCCGAGTGTTGTGTGACGGCTGCAAATTGCAGGCAAAGATTGGCGGCACCCAGGCTCGTTCATGGCTCGCCTGTGCCGTCTGCAGTCAGAAAGTTCAGACCCTCCGAGGCAGAGGACCTCACGGAGCCGGAAGCTGATGTGTTCGCTTCTCTCAGGGGAGAGCTCTTTTCTGCCGCCAAGGTCCACCGAAACAGGGATCACAAAAACCACCAGGCTCTGAAGGCATGGCATGACCCTCGCATGAGCACCTTGCTTTGTGACAGGCCTGTGGCTGAAACATCTTCCGAGGATAGAATCTAAGTTTGTCAAAGCGGGCATCTGTGAGAGACAAGACACGGATTGCGGATTGTTACTTGTAATCGAAGCCCAGGTGAAGCCGAGCTGGGTTGCGCAGGACGAGAGGTCGGAGTAGCCGCCAGTCTGGCTCCACGGCTCCAGTGCACAGCCCCTGGCAGGAAAAGCCAAGGCCAAGGTGACAGTCGTCGACAGGGTGTCCACGACAAGCTGCAGGGAATAACAGACGCGGTTCAGCAGGCCAGTTCCGAAGAGGCATCGCAGCGCAGGGCAGCGCAGCCCGCAGCAGAAATGGAAAGGTCTTGGGAGCCCTCGAGTCTGGCGAGAAAGTCGGTGAGACTAGACCACCAGGCCTGGCTCTAAAGGTGTCGGCAGGAGAGCCATCGGCTGCGCATGGCCGAGGAACCTTTGACAATCAACACCTGCGAGAGAGCTCGCAGCCTACGAGCGCACGTGTTGCCGAGGCCTCGGTGTATGCAGGGGGGATTTTGGCCACCATGCTTTTGGCGAGTATTCTGTGCAGGCACGCGATTTCTGGCAAGGCATGGCAACGCCTTTCGTGCAGTTGGTGCAGTATTTTCCTTTCATGACCGCGTCTTGACTGCTGTGCGATGCAGTTTGGCTCATAGCCAGTAGGGAAGTCCTGAGTGCAATCCACGCTGCCTCGAAAGCCACCTGCTGCCAATGACACTCACTCAGTTCAGAAAGATGTCAAGCAGAGTCAAATGTGTTTTTTCGTGTTACTCGCTGTGTAAGTTCTGGCAGCCGCAGTCCCGCACGGTTGTTGGGTCGAGGTATTCCGACCCGCCGAACCTGCCCACTCTCTTGACGTCACGTGGACCTCTCGGACCTTGTGGACGAGACAAACTGTCAAGAGGCAAAGATCTGGAGATCTCAATTCCTTCCGAGCTGGAGGCATCGAAGTGGCAGATGTTGTGTCTAAAAGCATGTCTTCATCATCCTGTCGGAGGAATCATTTCCCCTTCCGCTTCGAGTTCGTAACACCTTCATAGATGTGGGCGATGACGAGCAGCTCTCGGAACAAACGGCGCAATCTGCGCCTGCGAGGCAGTAGCCTCGGAAATGCCACGGAGGAACTTGGAATATTCAAAAACGCCAGCAGTCCGGATGCTCAAATGTGCTGGAGGCATGCTGGTCGGATACACCAGCTTTGGCGAGAAGGCAGAGGGTTTTGCTAAGTGTTGTTCTGGAAGCATTCCTGGATCCTGAAGGGTTCTCCACTCCTTGCAAGAGCCCGGTCGGACCGCAGCTGAAAGAGACCGCACTTCTCACAGCTGTTCTGCACACATCCGACAGTCCGACACATCTGGCTGATCATTGTGGAGATTCATCTGCAACCTGAGGTAGAGTGTCCTCCATCAAAGCCAGTTCTGCGCCTGGTTGATGTCTTGCCAGGCCTGCTTCCTATCGGAGTGCCCTCTCGTACACTACACGTGTCATTCATTGCGCAGGCAATCCAGAACCACCCCTGGCCGGCAACAGCTACGACGGCTATGATGGCTGTGGACGGACGCAGAGGACGCCTTGGGCAGATCTGTCGGCAGGCGACGTCGCAGTGAGCGAAAGCGGTGCCCTCTTGCTTTTGTCATTCATTCACTGCCACCAACGATGCCAAGGCACGTCGAATGGACCTGCTGACAGTGCTCCTGCAGCACGACTTGGCCTGGTCAACTTAAATCCTCCAAGCCCAACGCCTGCAGCGGCGGTGCCAAGCCCTTTCATTCACGGAATGTACAGCACTTCGAAGACCGAAACGAAGGTCCGCGCTTGTGAAGCCCGTTTGTCAGGATGTGAAGTTCCAATTCACAAGTCCTGCAAGATGCAGGTCCAAGATGTAAAATCGCCACCGTGCTGGGGAGGCATTTGGCACCCTTCTCAAGGCCTTTGAGACATGGCTAGGGCCTAGGGTACACTTTGGTTCTGCTGCCCGCCGTGCCCGGAAGGTGAAACTTGGCAGCCTCGCCTTGAGCGCTTCGACCGTGACCGCTTCGACCGCTTTGACCGTCAAGGATGCCAGGGACATCCGGTACCGCCGGTACCAACAAGCTTAGGATGCCGACCTCCGGAGATGGTACCCCAGGCACGCGAATAGTTCTGGTTTACATGGCTTCAGTGGCCCTCGGCCAGGTGCCGGTTCCATGCATTCCGTCCACACACGTCCGAAAGCCATACGGAGAGCCGTGGCAGAGCACTCGGCTGCTTCATTTTCTGGACCTTGTTTTGCCTTGACATGCTTGAATCCAAGGCTCACAAGGACCAAGCCGCAGGTGGACTCATATCCTGTGGTTCGGAATCCAAGCTGTCTGCCCCAATTCTCTCAGTCATGACTCATGACTATGCCAAGGGGCCTCTGGCCACGAGCCCGCTTGTGACAGTGCCAGCTCCTGCCACTGCCTCAGAGACACATCCAAAGAGCCTCCAGAGAGTCGCCTTTTGCCTTCTTGACCCCTCTTCAAGCTTGCTTTCAAGCTTTCAAGCTGTAAAGCCAAGGTCGGACCCGCACCGGGATCCTTCGAACTTCCCAGCATCGGATCGCAAGGGCATTCACTGGGCCAATGTACCTGGGCGAATTGCAGTACTTGTAGCAGCAATGATACATGCATAGTCAAGGGAAGAACGTCAAACCGCTTCACAGACACGGACCGATCAGCGACCCCAGTCGAGCTGTCTTGGTGATCGTCAGGTGTTTCTTTCCCGGGCCCAACTGTCCGTCCCTGATTGACAGAAGGAACCATTGCGAAAGCACCAGACGTGCAGTCAGACACTTCAGCATGGCCGACTTTAGAAGAGCTCAAACGAGTCGGGCCAGCTCCCTTGAACTCGCTGTTCAGCTTCTGGCCACAGAAACAAGATCGTTCACTTCGTATGGATTGCTTTTTGTATGTACATGTTCATATGTCGTAGTTTCATGTGGTTTATATGGCTAAGGTGTAAGGCTTAAGGGATCGATCAGAGTAGCAGAGTAACTTGTCGATCTGCGATGAACACACAAACAGGCTTTTCTGTTGTCGTTCAGCAGTACAGAGGCTGTCTTGATCGTAGAAGGGTACAGAGTATAGACATAGACAGTCTTCTCTAGAGATATAGACGTTGCTGTTGAAAGATGGAGAACTTGCCCAAAACGGGAACCAGCTGCAAATCTTGGGGTCGGGGTAGTGTTGGGGGTTGGTCTACGTTTCTGTTCGTGTTTTGCAATTAACATGTGTAGTTATGCTTGATATACTTGTGCTTATGATCATCTCATGTTTGTGTTCATGTTGACATTCATGTTTATACTTGCATATGTCTATCAGTTTTATGCTGGTATCTGTTCGAGATCTACAAAGGCAAAGGACCACTCACAGACCCAGCCAGCTACAGGCCAATCTCACTCCTCAACACATCATACAAGCTCTTCGCGAAGATTATCCACACCAGACTCCAGGCGGCACTGGATGACAGGCTATGTGAAACCCAATACGGGTTTAGAGCAACACACTCTACCTCACAGCCCATCCACATCATCCGCAGACTTATCGAAAGAGCAGAAGCCACAGGACAATCACTTTACACCATCCTCTTCGATTGGGAGAAGGCTTTTGACAAAATCCACCCCGACGCCCTCCTCACGGCGCTTACTCGCTACGGCGTCCCACCACACTTCACAGCACTCATCAAGAACATTTACACCTCACCACAGTTCACGGTCGCGGCAGCTGGCAAGCACAGCACTGAAGAAGAGGCCAGCTCGGGAATCCGACAGGGATGCCCACTGTCACCCTACTTCTTCCTCATTGTACATGGTGTGGTGATGCACGACGTTGACCAAGAACTCACAGCCAACGGGGAATTCCTCCCGTGGCTTTACAGCCAAGACCAGCCCTTCTACGACCTAGCATACGCTGACGATATTGCACTCATAGCAGGCACAGCAGCCAGAGCAGAGCAACTTGTCCACGTTCTACAGCGCGTGGCCGCACACAGCAACCTACACCTCAACCTGCTACGCTCACCTACCTCTCAGAACACTATCCACTTCACAGACGGCACCCCCCTCACCATAGAACAACACGCCAAGTACCTCGGGGTCATACTGAGCAGCAACGGCTCTTCCTGCAAAGACGTCACCACACGGCTTGCAAAAGCCCGCAAACATTTCCACTCGGTGCACTAATTTTAGTGCAACACCGACCTCACACTGAAATGGAAGCTTAGAATTTACAACGCTGTTTTCATTCCACTGGTGACGTACGGCTTGGAGTCTGCAGTGCTCACCGCCGGAGACTACCACAGGCTCGAAGCCTCCCACTCACAGTCACTTCGTAAAATCCTTCACTTCAAAAGCACCTACTACACCGAGGTGCTCAATCCCACGGCCCGCGCCTACACCAACCAGGAAGTGAGAGCACTTACCTCACAGCCTCCCCTCACACACCACATCCACAAAGCACAGCTGAAGCTTTTCGGGCACATTCTTCGATCCCATCCGAACAGTATAGAACGGAACTGCTGTTTTACCAAAGCTTTTCAGTACAGAGGGGGAACAGTAGGCGCAGGTCTTAGACCAGGCAGGCGAAGGGTCCACTGGACAGAACAGTGCACTAAGTTGCTTTGGCACTGGCTTCTAAACTCCTCAAGACCCCCAGCCTCTCACAGCCCTACTTTCCCGTACTCATATGTACAAGCTCACAGAACAGCTGTAGATCGCCATTGTTGGAGTACGCTAGTGAAGTTGCCAACGTGCAAGACACTCCTTGAAGCACGCTCCTACGTAGTTCCCTCACAGACCTGAGTTCTTGCGGAGTCGTTGCTGAGCGAGTTGCATAGGGCCGCCCAAAAAATCTGTGTTTGTAACAATGTATTTGTTTCTATGTGTGTAGCTGTGCCTACATGATATCTGTATCTGTAGCTATATCTTTATCTCTATTTGCCTCTCTCTGTGTCCATGTTCCTATCCGTATCTTTATTTCTAGCTCTGTCTGAATCTATCTCTACTTCTCTATCTCCGCATCCACGCACTACACATCTTTGTATGTGCCTATATCTATGTCAATATTTTAAGTATTCATGTCTCCATTCATTTGCATCCTTATCTACATCTGCAGAGGCAGTCTTTGTAATATGTTCATACCTATGTCTGTATATCTTGTATATATAGTAGCAGATGTTGCTTCTTCCTCAGATTATCTTCGATTATAGTGTCCCGTGTTTATAGCTTTGAGCACGGAAGCGATTGGATTAACCGGATGTAACTGGAAGTCACCACCGCCAGGAGGTTCAGAAGATGGCAAAAATAAGCAGCATCACAAGGAAGAACACGCGATTGCAAGAAGTCGTCACGTGGATGTTTTAACGCACTCGGACGATATCCGTGCTGTGGATTTCTTTTTCCGGCTCGCGACACATGCTGGTTGTTGGCCAAAGGGGTCCCTCCAGCATACACAGAACATTTCATCTGTTTGCTCTGGCTGTAGATGAATATGGAGCATGTTCTTTTTGCATGTGCTCAGACACAATGAGACGTTGCAATGTGCACCGGCGATCATGCCATGCTTGTCTGCTTCAAGCTGACGGTGCAAGATGCAATTGGCAGGCAAGCCTTGTGCGTTTCTCCACACGAAGGTTGGGCTTGTGAAGACGCAGTCGATCAGTTGTGGGATAATGCAAGCTTTACTGCATGCTGTGTTGTGTGGAGGGGTGCGACAACGGCGCCGTGTGCAAGTTCTGCCACCTATGTGAGCCGGGCGAGAAGAAGCGCCGCCAGAAGGCGTTGGCCTAATCTGACGTTGTGACATGCTACGCTTCCTGTTCCTGGTACATCTTGACTGCAGAGGGCATAGCTATTTGTGACCTTCGTGCAAATGCGAAAGCTGAGTATTGGCGAGTGCAGGAGAAGAGACAGATGATGCGAGGCAGCAGCTTGCCAAGTAGGTCAGGTTGATAGTTTTAGTACATGTGATGGCACATGCAATCAGCCTAGGTGCGCAGTGAAAGATGGATTGCCCCATGTCCTGGCCAAAGGAGCTTGATTGTCACTCATATAGCTTGAGTAGCCCAGCTAAACAGCAGGGTAGGTGCACGACTGCCGCCATCGCAGGGAGAATCTCTAAGTGTTCTCTTTGCAAGGTGGATCGGTAGGCGCAAATACGCGCCCTCCGCACTTTCATTGCACTTCTCCTCAGAAGAAATGCAAGTTTAATATGCCCATGATTGCCGAACACCTATGTGATGAAGCTGAATTGCTTCGGTAAGTCGTCTATATCATTCTCGTTGTTGCCGTCATGAGGCCTGCTCTCAACACCAGCGAAGAATCTGTAGGGGCTGTTGTCAGCACCTTTGACCTTGATCAATCATGGAATGCAGAAAGCTTCGTGCGGCAGAGCACTATTCGCGATTGGCACACTTGTGTACCAAGTCCAGGTGTTGTTGGCAGAGACCGGCTTGTATGCAGGTCCTCTTGGACGACTGCAAGAGGAGGACAAATGTGGTAGAAGCACCTGTCAAACAACAGAGGATAAGCTTCAGTGTGTAGCTGCCTGGGGTAGCTTTTACCAACATCCATCAACATCCTATTGGCAGGATGTTGCTCTTCAGGAGGTGTCGAGGTTGGCCCACTGCTCGTGACGTCATTCGAAGCATTGGCAGCATGGTCCGGTTGTCGTGAAGTCAGGGCGTGCCCATTAGCACTTTCACCACGCGGGCCCGGACGCGCTCCCGACCGTCCTGCTAGATACTGAGCATTGGTGCACGAAAAGCTGGAGGGCCCGAATTGTTGGTGAATGTCTTTATTGTCTCGTTTCTATGCTTGTAGACCTTACTTAGGGCGGGTATTTGCACAGTTTTTCTAACGTTGTGGATTCGGGTGGGCTTCTGCATGGAAGCCACAGAAGCGAGGAGGCAGGAAAGATACGAAGTGGGCACTTAAACCTTTCGAGCTTAAACCTTTCGAGGAACTGCGCAAAAAGCAAGGCATTCCGGAAGAAATGAAGGAAGCCATGAAGGCAGACAGGCAGGCCTGAATACCTTATGGAAGACCGCCTATACCCTCTGCATACCTTATATATGCCATGAAGAATGCCTAAAGTAGACCTTCTGGGATGCCGTTTAGAATCCCCTACAGAATACCCCATAGAGCCATAGAGTACACTGATGATAGGGATATTCAATGTGCGAAACCATTCGGAGCCCGAGATCTGAGAAGCCTGCAGTTGAATCGTAGCTGATTGGGTAAAGGAGTAAACTTATAATCACTTTCCCGAATATGCCGTCTATATATACCTTACAAATTTTACTACAATTGCACATAAAATGCCCATAATCTATGCAATTCCGGTTTCTTTATATAATACCTATAGGCTAAAACAACAGCATGCCTTATAGAATACCTTGTCAAAGTACAGGCCATAAAATACCTGTTGTACAATACCTTATGGAGCACCCTATAGAATATGTTAGGGAATGCCCGATCGAATACCATCTGGAATACATTGCAGTAGAATACCTGACACAAGACCGCCATGTGTACCTTAAATATACCTAATTGACTATCTTCTCGAAAACCTTTTCAGGATACCCCTAAGGCTACCTTTTAGAATACCTTGTATATGATGACTTACATAATGCAAACCAGGAGGAGACCAACATCTGATAAATCACCAAGAATATTGTAGCTTACTGAATATGAGATGTCTGGGAAAGACTTCGGGAATCTAGGTAGGAGCCTGGCTTATGGAGTACTTTGCAGACAACCTTTTCTACAATCCTTAAAGAAACTCTTTCAAAATACGGTAATACCTTGGAGAATACGGTCTATGTACCTTGTATACCGCAACCTATCTGATACGGCACATCTTGAATCTATCATGGAGTACATTGCTATATATACAACCCTAAAGAGTTCCATATATAATGCTTTACGGAATACTCTATAGAACACCCGATAGAATGCGCGCTAAAAAATTATGTTAAAAAACTAACCCCGTATATCTTATCCTATATAGAATACCATCTGAAATAGTGCATAGAATGCCTCATGTATAAGATACCCCATGTATAGCTCATTTATATACCCCTTGGTGCTATCGAACCGCCTTTCGCTGTCCCCATTTTCGGAAAACTCATCGGTTCGATAGCACCAAGTCTCTGAAGCATGACAGTGTCGTACCTGTGCAGGACAAAACCAAAAAAAAGAAACGACAAAACGAAAACACACAAACAAGCAACTAACAAAGACAAAACAACAGTCAAAAAACGAAACTGACACTATTCAAGACCTGGCGCTGGATTTTTGTTTTTGTCTTCAGGTCTGTGTCGGTGCTGCTTTTTTGTTTTGGTCCTTCCAGGGACAGGCTTGAATCTAATCTGTTTCAATACTGTTATGCTTTGCCCGCTTCTGTTATATCTATTGTCTTTTAACCTGGTGTGCTGTAGCTTAATAACCCCTTCACTCACCGTATACATATCTATGCACGAGAAGAGACATGTAACTAGCTGACACAGTCCAACATAGATAGTACATAGGATTGACAAATAGATAAGTGTGTGGTCAATAAGGGAGGCTACCACGCATATATATATATATATACATATGTATATATATATATATATATATATATGCCATGTATGCTCGCATCAAGCATTAACGACTACCGACGTCCATTTTGGCTCAAAGTGCCAAGAATTTTTCAGACTAGTCCTCTCTCAGTGCACTCAGACATGGCCGCTTCAGCCGCAGCCGAAGCCACAGAGGAGCAGCCGTGGGTGGACAGAGTGCACGCTGCAGAGGAGTTGTGGGTGAGTCTCGTCAGTCTGGATGCAGACGTCTTAGTCGAGGCCTTGTCGAACCTCCCAGCCGACCTCCAGGGACGTTTGGAGCAGATCGTGGACTGGTCCAGCCGCGTCAGACTTGCAGAAGCCGAAGGACAGACGCTGGTAGTCGACACAGGCCTCGGCACAGCAAGTTGGCACTTGGCCAGCACTTCCTCCTCGGAGGATGCCCAGGACGCTACAGCCAGCACTAGTCAGGAACAGCCTTCTGCAGTCCGCTCTTGGGCGGATCAGACTGAGGCCTCCTTTGGAACCGCGCCGTCAGCCCCAGTCATAGTCTTGGCTCAGCCCACTCAGGTGACACAGGTTACGGCAGCCACAGCCTCAGCCGCGGACGCACAGACTCAGGCGACACAGCCGATCAGTAAAGCGCAGACCAAGGGCCAGGGCAAGAAGGGACGAGGCTTGCCCACGCAGGTCACACCAGTGAAGGCAATGCCCCAGCCGGCCCCAAGACTCAGGCGAGCGGACAGCCACCCGCTAAGGCCCCTACAGTCTCGCCACCGCCTTCGCTTACCGCCCTAGTCTTGCACTCAGCCGGAGGCCAGCCACAGCCCCAGACTGGACAGACGCCACACCCGAAAGCGCAGCCTCCTCCCCTGGTGGCTGACCCTCCTGTGCAACAGCCGCAAGCAGCCCCTCAGCCAGGTACCAGGGGAGTTGGCCCTGTCACAGGACAGCTGAGGCAGCCAGACAGACAGCAGACCAACCGCAGGGCCGCTCAGGGCACTCAGACGTTCGTAGCCGACTCAGTCGCTCTACAGGCTTTTCCCAACGAGCTTGTTGGCTACAACGCCGGCATATACTATGCCAAATGGGCGGCCGTTGGCGCGCATGGGCTTTTGCCCGCCGTGCCGCCATACTCAGCAGCCTTCCCTAGCCTCAGCACAGCCAGGGACAGCCGCCTGCCGCGTGCCCTTCGGGAGCACGGGCACAGGACAGACGGATTCTGCTTGGAGGTCTGCCCGCGATGCCAGGCGTGTGCGTGCAGCCGCCCCCTCACACTCACCAAGGAGGGGGGGGCTTGGCACGATCATCATGATTGTCCTCGCTGCCATGTTCCAGGCGGGTCTCTACTCAGCAGCTCTTCTTGTGAATCTTGCTCTGTCAGGGTCCAGTCGCAGACGTTGACAGCCAAGGAACTGGAGGACTGCCAGCCAGCCGCAGTCCCATGGCTCAGCCTTAACCGCGGCAGGAGCCCCCCCCTCCTTGGTGAGTGTGAGACAGCCCTCCTTAGCCTTTTCAGCCAGTCGTAGCCTGTCCAGCCTTTTGGTCTCAGCCTTTGTACCCCACCTTCAGAAAAGAGTGCTGCATTCTCTAGTAGAGTCGCTGTCGTTAAATGTATATATATGTATATTTGTATATGTATATGTATATGCATACACATATATATATATATACTTTTCTTTCTGCAAAACTATCAGAGGCGTGCCCGGTATCGGCTTGAAAGCCTTCACGAGCGGTTTAGTGTACAAGGTTTAAATTCATCAGTCCCGTCTATTTTGTTTTTAATGTTGGGTGCTTTGATTTTTCCTTTCACGGGTGAATTATTTGAGCCAAAATCTGTAAAAATCAAACCCTGAAGCCGGCACTGTGTAGCTGGGCTTAAAATTATGTAGGGTTCAGGGTTTTTGCTCACGGACGAGTCGCTTGAGCAACAAAGACCCCCAGCCACGAGCCCAGACAAACCCAAGCCACCAGCCCACTGCTTCAAACACCACCCACAACCCCCCAGGAGCACAAGCCAGAAACAACAAAAGACACAAAGACCCCGTCTATGGCCCAGCAAGTAATGGTAATGGTAATGGTAATGGTAATGGTAATGGTAATAGTAATAGTAATAGTAATAGTAATAGTAATAGTAATAGTAATAGTATAATAGTATAATAGTATAATAGTAGAAAAGTATAATAGTATAATAGTATAATAGTATAATAGTATAATAGTATAATAGTATAATAGTATAATAGTATAATAGTATAATAGTATAATAGTATAATAATATAATAGTATAATAGTATAATAGTAATAGTAATAGTAATAGTAATAGTTAATAGTATAATAGTATAATAGTATAATAGTATAATAGTATAATAGTATAATAGTATAATAGTATATAGTATAATAATGTATAATAGTATATAATAGTAATAGTATAATAGTATAATAATAGTAAAGTATAGTAATAGTAAGTAATTAGTAATAGTAATAGTAATAGTAATAGTAATAGTAGTAATAGTAATAGTAATAATAGGTAATAGTAATAGTAATAGTAATAGTAAGTAATAGGTAATAGTAATAAAGTAATAGTCGTATAGTAGTAATAGTAATAGTAATAGTAGTAATAGTAATAGTAATAGTAATAGTAATAGTAATAGTAATAGTAATAGTAATAGTAATAGTAATAGTAATAGTAATAGTAATAGTAATAGTAATAGTAATAGTAGTAATATAATAGTAATAATAGTAATAGTAATAGTAATAGTAATAGTAATAGTAATAGTAAATAGTAATAGTAATAGTAATAGTAAGTAGTAATAGTAATAGTAATAGTAATAGTAATGTAGTAGTAGTAGTAGTAGTAGTAGTAATAGTAATAGGAATAGTAATAGTAATAGTAACAGTAATAGTAATAGTAATAGTAGTAGTAATAGTAATAGTAATAGTAATAGTAATAGTAATAGTAATAGTAATAGTAATAGTAATAGTAATAGTAATAGTGATAGTAATAGTAATAGTAATAGTAATAGTAATAGTAATAGTAATAGTAATAGTAATAGTAATAGTAATAGTAATAGTAATAGTAATAGTAATAGTAATAGTAATAGTAATAGTACTAGTAATAGTAATAGTAATAGTAATAGTAATAGTAATAGTAATAGTAATAGTAATAGTAATAGTAATAATAATGGTAATGGTAATGGTAATGGTAATAGTAACGGTAATGGTAATGGTAATGGTAATGGTAATAGTAATAGTAATAGTAATAGAATAGTAATAGTCCCGCGTCCCGCGTCCCGCGTCCCGCGTCCCGCGTCCCGCGTCCCGCGTCCCGCGTCCCGCGCCCCGCGTCCCGCGTCCCGCGTCCCGCGTCCGCGTCCCGCGTCCCGGCGTCCCGTCCCGCTCCCCGCGCCCCGCGCCCCGCGCCCGGCGCCCCGCGTCCCGCGTCCCGCGTCCCGCGTCCCGCGCGCCTCCGCGGCAAAAAAAAAGCTATACCCGCCATTTGAAGCCGTTGCTAAGGTGCTTGCCCAGCAGGTTATAGTCAAGGAGCTTGTCTGCTGTTTTACCATCGTTAGGAGTCTTTGGGCGAGGAGCGTAGCAATAGTCTAATGAAGTCTAACGGGGATGTCAGTAGTGGTGGTAGTATATCACGACAGCAACTCTTGTTGAAGATATGCCAAATCAAGCCAAGCCGTTCAGGACTTCCTAGGGGAGATACTCGGTTGCTACGAAAACCAGCCAAGCCAGGCCAGGCCTCAGCCTGAGCCTAGTCCCAAGCTTACTCTAAGCTCAGCTCGCAGCCACAACACTCGAAAATAATTCAACCTGGGAGAAGCCAGGGTAGACACAGGAGGAAAACAACACTAAAAAGCCCGGTCCCTTTTAGAAAGACAGGTCTCGCCAGAACGGGCTGTGGCTGGGTCCGAAGCTAAAGGGGGGACGTCCCACTTCAGAGCCTCGAGAGATGTCGGCGGGAGGTCGGGGCTTGCCAGCCTTAGCCTCAGCGGAGGGCACGGCGGCCACGGGATCGGACATGGACGCTTCTCGAGGAGCGCATGAAACGGCTGCGCTGTGCTGCCGCTGTGCTGTGCTGCCGCTGTGCTGTGCCTTTGGTGCAGGCCGCGGGCTTCTGCACCGTCCTCGCCCCCAGTTGAAATTCTCGACTTGGAGCCTTGGAGTGAAGCTGTGACTCAGGGTTTCGTGGGACAAATCGCAAACGACATCGACGGAGAACTTGCTGAGTCACGGCCACGACCTTGGACCGCCCAATCTCAACGGTGGCAGCCTCTGCGCAGAATGTGACAGAGTTTCAGGTCTTCCATTCGGCCCTTCTGGCGGCACAAGGCTGCAGAGCTAATCTTAGTTGTCTTAGTTTCTGATGCACGTTGGCCTCTTCCGAAGGGCCTAAAGAGTGCCGCATTTCAACCACTTTTTCGGGTGGGTGCACTATTCGCACTTCGCTTTCCGCACCTTACTCAGCTTTGCCCGGAACGGCGACGAGTCGGGTCGTCGTCTCTCGAGATCACCGCGTGCGGCGGAATCGGCGTGCTCTCCGCGCAGGCCAACGGCTTCGCAGACTCTGCCGGTGCCGGGAGGACACCGGGAGATTCCAGGAGACTCCGCGAGGTGCCAGCTCTCCGCCGAGATCTCGGCGACTCGGGGTCCTCGCAAAGTCTTCAGATTCGCTTCTCGTCTTCTCCTCATTTCAAGTCTTTACTGAGGCAGGGATCCCCTTGGCACAAGCCCACCCAGCAGCATCGCCTGCACGCCCGAGTGTCGTGCAGCAGCCATGGCACGTGCTGACAGCGAGTCGCACATTGCCGGAGTCCTGGCAAAGGTAATCCGAATCCCCGTTTACGTTTGCTTGCTGCCCTGGCCATAGGCCCACGAAGGCGCCTGCAGCAGCCTCAGAAGTCCATTGTGCCGATATTCTTCCGAGTCGGGGCCCGTTGCAAGTTCTGAGTTCGTGCGTATTTCTTTGTCCTGAATGTCGATGTCAACTGTCCTGTAGCTACAGCTTCTAATGATAATGCTAAAGCAGAGCATGATAAAGCATGCAATGTGACAGCAACAGTAGTCATATCAAATCAGACGATGGGTGAAATGAAGACAAGGCGGTTGAGTGCTGATCAAGAGGTTAGGTTTCCAATCGTCATAGTCACGACCAGTCACGAAAGTCACGGAGATGATACGCAGAAGTCCGAAGACTCAACTTCCGCTCATGGTAAGCCAGCATGACCTGCCCCTCATACTGAGCTGAAATCAACCTGCGACAGAGCGCTGTGCTGTGCGAGTCCGTGTTTGTGTTCTGAGATCAATGGCTGCCGGAACTCCTTGACCCAGGCCTTTTCATGAGTCCTTTGCTGCACGTCTTACTTTCCCATGAGCAGGGCCTCCGGACCCGGCAAGCATTGTGAGGGCTGGGTGAGCCCAGACTGGGAAGTCGCGCTGGCTCTCCGAGCAAAGCCGGGTGTTTCGGGATTTGTGGGTTCGGGAGCCATGCCTGGATAATGTACGGGCTCTGCACAGGAGCCACTCTGTCATGGAAGACATCTGGAAAATCCGAGATGCGCGAGCTCTGGTCAAAGTACCTGTCTTGCGATTTCATGGCCGTGTCAACGTGCGGCGGTTGCTGGGTGGCTGAAACTGTGCCAGGTCGCACCAGCAATCGTTAGAGCTTCTTGTAACAGATCTGGACGAACCGAGACGATAAACATCCAGAGAACTATCTCGGGTGTTGAATTGCTTGATTACATCTGTCTCGTCCGCAAAAGGATTCGTGCTCGTGTCGTTGGGTTAGTGATGCGGAAAGTCGACGGACGATACCTTCCAAAGGGGAAAGCTGAGATGACAACAGGTTCGCTGCAAGGGAAGCTGGACGGTCAAGTGAAGCGTTTCTTGAGACAGATGTGAGGATAGCTAAGCAAGAACGAAGAGTCGTTCTCTTGGAGACGACTGCACTTTCACTGTGCTACACTGTGCTTGAGCTATCTTGAGCTGACATTGAACCAGAGATCTGCGCGTACATGCTAGATTTGGCGCTGCGGTCTGCTGTGTCGAAGAGGAGGTTTGCTCGATGGCAAGGGAATGCAACGAACACCAGGAGTCTTCAGGCTATGCAAGCACAAGCATACTTCGTTGGACAGTATCCTGTACAATGCCATGCTATGCAGAGCGCAAAGCTCACCTACTTCGGAACATGTTCGTCAATGAGACATCAATTTTTCTGGAACTTGAATATCTCATCAAACGCAAGTGTTAGTGAGCGGCGGCAGTGCTTCCTGCTGTTGCATATTGCATACTATGAATTTTGGGTGCTTATCTTTGTCTCAATGTAACACTGTCGCCCATGTCCCGCGGCAAGCGGCTCGTTAAGCAGAGTGACTCATCGCGCATAGCTTCAAAGTTCGAGCAGGCCACTTGTTTCCTTGGGATGTGTGAAGCTTCAACTTTCGGCTCCAGTTATTTAGTTCATTCGCGGCTGCTGGGAAAGCCGCGAAGAATGGCCTTCTCCTTAAAAAGAGACCAAGAATCTCAGTCGGCTGCACCCGGACGATTGACCAAGGCCTTTCCTTCGGTGGGAGGGTGAGCTCGGCTTGAATTGATGCCTTCCTTTTCTGCAACTCTTGTTTGCGTTTTTTCTTGAGACCGGAAATAATCAGCTTCACGCAGGCCCTTCGTCTGGGCTTTCGTGGCGTTTTCTTCTGCAGGATTCCAAGCTCCGGCCGCCAGAGAAGGGTCCAGCGATTTGGCGACTTTCCTCATGAGGTCCTTCACTTCTTCGAGCAATATCTTGAGTGGAGACAGCTGCAAAAGCTGGGTTCTCATTTATCCAGGTGTGAAAGCGGAGGAATTCATCCGCGGAGTGCACAGGAACAGGGAGACTACGGTGCCGGCGGAATTCCAAGGCCAGGTGGTACGGTGGAGTGATCAGAAGATGTTGATTTCGGAGCAGGTGTTGTTGATGAGTCGAAGTTCCTGGAATCACAGGACAGGAGGGGAGTGGTCGGTTTCAAAGCCCCTTCTGTCATGGACCGCAGGTATACCAGAAGGACAAGCGCCTCTTTGGCTTTGTGAAAGACTGGGTGAGCTTCATCTATGATAAGGCCATCATACATGGACACGTGTCACCACTGCAAAGGGCTCAGAAGCCAAGCAGAGTGGTGTGCAGGTGCAGCTCTTTCTGATTACTCCTTGGCTGTGGCACTATGCAGTGTCATGCTTAACTGTGTGCATGCCATCGTGCCGTGAGAAACACAGCAAGCCTGTTAGGTCGCGGTCTTTGGTGAGGAGGCGGGTCTCTGATAGGGTCCCTGTTAGGGCAAAAGGTATGGCAGGCGGTCATGTAAGGCGGAGTACAGCTGCACACTCTTCTGGCTCTTTCTGCTGCAGTGGGTCGCTGCCCCAGTGCTCAGTGAGAGCAACTCCTCAACTGGTGTTTCTTGCTCCAGGTAGAAAAGCCCATCAGCATCCCGTTCTCCCTCTACTCCAACTTTGTAGTGGAGGACACTTGGCTTTTCTGGGGCACGCTTCTCGCCGGGCGGCGGTTGTGACAAACAGGAGGTCCACCGCGACCAGACACCTGAAGCTTTCACAAATTCATGATGCAACAACGGACCATGGGCAACGGTCTGTGCCGTCTGTAGCAGGAGGGATTGGAGTGGGGCAGAATATCCGCTCTGGCACCTGTGTGGGGGCTTCGAGTGTGTTCATGGATATAATCTGTCGGGAGATCTTGCTTGTTGAGTTTCACTTCTGAGCCCAAGAGAAGCATGTGGCGAAGAACAGCAACTGTCTCGTCGGGCGGTGTGACGGCTTGGTCGAAGACTGTATGGTTTCTTGCCACTGCAGGCCTGCATGAGTTTTGGTGCGACCTCGCCGTGGAGCTGAACTTTCGGCGCTGTCCGAGTTTGTTGACATCTTGAAGGTCGTCGAAGAAGACGGTGGAATTATCATCGGTTTCGGAACACTCCAATATCGGTGATGGCGGTACGGCTGCACAAGACACCGGCATGGGCGCCCGCGGCAACTTCGGCATCTGGCACGGCTGCTCCGGCGTACCATCTCCATACGGCTGCGTTGCGGCACGGGATTTGAGCCTGACATTGGCCGGCAGTGGTCCTGCACCACGGGCTCCGATATTGAAAAACATCAGTCGCAACTGTTTCTTAGAAGCGCTTTCATTTGATCTGGGAATCCATAGAAATCGTTGAACAAAGTACATGTCAACAGAAATGATGCCCTGAAAATCAATTGAAGATTCTTAAGCAAACATCAACAGAACATGTACCCGAGAACCCACAGAACATCCTAGCATTTCATGCGCTTGTCAACCCACGTGCACTTACCTCAAGTGTAAGTGACGGGTTCTTTTGCCATGCAAAACACGTGTGCTGGTGGTGACAAGTTTGCATAAAAAGAGCTGCTTGGAATCGAGGGAATGCCGTTGCCTGTTCGCAGCAGTGCAAGCCCGAGTGCGCTGCGGGGTGAAACTTTTCTGGTCCGCTGGACTAGATAGAAGCCATGTCCGTGTGAAGTGAAACGACCACGACGCAGATCGATCTGTGGGCCGCGGATCCGGGCGCCGCGGAGCCGTTGCTGGAGCGGTTCGACCTTTCACCTTTGGCCGCCAGTTCAACGAGGCGGTCGTTGATAACGACGGTGATGGTCCCGACCCCCCCACAACACAGGTCGCAATGGCTGCGACTAGAAGCTGGGTGCAACTGGTGCAGCAGCAAGCGGTCGCCAAGCTCTTCCCAGCAGGTCGGCACGTTGGGGCCACGCACGGGGTCGCTCTGTTTCGATTTCGGCGTATTCTACCTGCACGCCAAAGCAGCAACTTGCCGTTGAAGGTTCGGCCCCGGAGATGGCTGAACCGAAAATGCTTTCCCAGGTCGCGACGACCTTGGCGAAGCCACGGACAGTGAAGGCCGACCTGCCCCCGTTCGTACCGTTCGGTTCTAAACTGTTGAAACCTTAAACAAATCTTCAATCGCAATTCTTAAACCCTAATATTCAAGAAATCCAATGTAAATACAAGCAGCCTTGCAAAGGGTCCGCTGCCACTGGAGAGGTCGCTTGCGTGTTCCAGACGTATGCTAGTTTCGACATTCGGGTTTGGGGTTTTAGGTTTAAGGGCCCGGAAACTGGGTTTTTTTGTCAACGGTAACATTCAACACAAACCAGCGTTGGGGTGGAGCACCGCTTGCCTTTGAGGTCGGGCCGTTGGGCATCCACCCCTCGTTGTATTGTTCAACAACGCTCGGCATGCCAGCAAAGCACATAGGGAGCTATTTTGGCCTTTCCAACTCTGGATAAGGCTGGCCTATCTTCTGGCATTTCCAAACCCTAACTCTCAGTCTCATGTTCGAAAAAGTCTCCGTGTATCTGAGCTTTCCAACGGCTTTCTAATGGTTGGCCACGTCTCATCCAAACATCCTCGAAATTGTTGGGTTGGGGTCCGGTCGGAGCTTGTAGGCTCGGGTTTGCCATTTGTTGCGAGTAGATTGCCGGGAGCCTTTCTGCGCGCTAGTCTGTTTTAAACGGCAATCCTAAACACATGTACATTTCAGGGCTTACCAACCCATCATGAAGTGATGCTTTAGAGGGATTTCACACCGACTCGTGCATGAGGCCGTCAAGCCTTCGAACCACCAACTGAGAACCGTGTGGTGCATGTCATAGCCATACCACTTGTGCCTGCAGGTTTGCCGCCGCCGTGCTAGTTTTGTACAGTCCGAAAGATTCACAAGTTGAAAGATCTGTAGGACTGCACCCCAAGGTCATTCTTAGATTCTCTACGTTTGTTTTAGGATGAGACCACGAGCTTGATCAAGAACCTCGATGGTTGTATCACGTGGAGGTGTGGTGTTGAACCACAATGTGACACGCCCCTTGATAAGAGCAGTGTCGCTGTCAGCAAACGAGAACTTTGTGTTCGCAGGAGAGAAGGTATATTCAATCTTGCATGCAGCGTATCGCTCCACCGCCCTTATCAGTCGGTTGAATGCATAGCAGGAACCCATCGCACGAGTGCACCCTGAGTCAAGTACGGCATAAGTGGAGTTCCGGTCAAGATTGACAGGTTCGGTACGAGGCGACAACTGGCACGGTCTTCCCAGACGATTTCCACGATCATGTATGTCAAAGGAAGCTGGGCGCGCGCTTCCTCGACCAGCGTCGAGCCTGCGAGACGCCTAATGCTCGCGTCGACATTGGTTCGGCTGCCGATGAAGATGTCTTTGGCGTCATCTCAAGCACCTGCCATCCACGGCCATGCAAAAACCCCAACTCGGCTGCCGTAATCTCAGAAGCCTCGCAGGCACTAAAGAGATGGCTTTTGGATTGACCAATCGGCTTGGCCAATGGACCAATTGGTGTCCTGGTGCTGTAGATGACCATGTCGGCATATGCTGAC